CTGGGCTCTGGCTGGTGTGGCTCAGTGGATTGAGCGCCAGCCTGCAAACCAAAGTACTGCCAGTTTGATTCCCAGTCAGGGCACATGCCCAGGTTGCAGGCCAGGTACCCAGGTCGGTGGGTGCACGAGAAGCAGCCACACATTGAAGTTTCTCTCCCTCTCTTTCCTCTAAAAATAAATGAATAAAAAATTTTTAAAGGCATTCTGGAAGACCTGAAAGCACGAAGGGCAGCTATAAACCGGTGGAGCCAGCACCACTGAAACCCTGGTTGCCCTCTCCACTCCATATGTGTACCTGTACCATATGCTCTTGAGGGCATTGGGCAGGTACTGGCCTTCGCTGTGGGCAGATGAGCCTAAGTCCCACAAGAAGGATGAGGGGCTAACTCAGGGGAGGGTAGTTGCTGGGAGTGGGAAAATCCACAGTTCTTGAGGATGAACTCATGGCTATTCCTGAAACCAGAGCAGGAACTAAGGGAAGGAAGATTGCATTGACTGAAGGTGGGAAGAGGAAAGCGCAGGGTTGAGGCGACCACAGGACCTGCCTGCACCCCCCACCCCCGTCTTTGCTTAGCTACGTCATCCCCAACCCTCTACTCCTTAAACTCCTCATCCCTCCAGGCAGCTGGGGGATTTTCCACTGGCCCTGCCTGGGCCCATACTCTAGACCTTTTAATTCACTACTGCCCCACGCTCCCAAGGATTTGCCCAGGCATCTTGCATCCATCAACCAATTCTTATGGGGTGCGCTGAGGGTCTTCCTACACACCCCCAGCATCTGTGGGACACATATATTTCTTTACTTGACTGCCCTCCATCTCTTTCAGAGCCCTAGCGCGTTTTCTCTTCCCTGCATCTCTGTTCCATCCCATCACGGTAACCCTCCTCTCTTCCCTGAGTGTCTTCATCTCCCCAACACCGAGATCTCTTCCTTTCAGGCTTGTCCTGGGACACCAACCAAGTGTTTTCGTCCTCCTAATGTCAATCACCTCGGACAGCCTGTATTCGACGCACTCCAACACCTCCCACCGTGCTCCTCTAAAGGGCATGGCCTCCCGGTTTAGCCCGTGCTGTGTTCCCGAGGACTCCTCTGACACGAACCTCTTCTGTCCTCCCACCGGTCCCCGCCCCCTCCGCCGGGTCTGTCGGCTCCGGTCTTTTCCCAACCCCCCCAGATGCCCCAGACTCTCCGGGAGACCTTTCACCTCACGCTCTGCGACCCCTGTCCCCGGACACGACCCTTTCCGTCCGTGCGTAATGCGGAGCGGCTGCCCAGAATCTGCTCCGGAGGAGGCGAGTCAAGGAGTAATTTAAACAGAATTTCAGCTTTGGGTGTTGAAGGTGGGCCTCAGGCCTTCTCCTTGAGTCTATGGGAAAATTCTCTCCCTTTCCTGTTTTACAAGACCAGTGTCATTAATATACTACGTAGACCATCCCTCCTATATAAGCTGGGAGGCGCTGGGACCGTACCTTCTAGGTTGTGGGGCTCCGATCCCGCAAGGAGATGGAAGGTGTTCATGTGAAAGCTGGTCGGCCGGAAACACACTCTCGAAGGAACCGTTCCAAGAGCCCTTAGGTCCTCTGGCCTGAATCTAAGTCATTCCGAACGTAACAAATACTTGTTAAGTGTCTCCTCTATGCCAACTTCTGGGGCTACAAAAGAGGAAGCGAATGGGATCGAAGTCGTCCCTGCCTTCCTTCCCCTTAGAGGTGACAGAGAAATCGTATTTTTATTGGATACAGGCTGCAAGGAGGAACTCTCCTAGACCTCGTGGGGGCGACAAAGACCAGAATATGTATGAAAATACTCATCCGCCTGAGCACCTGGGGGAAGAAGACAGGGATAACACAATTAGAAGTCTGAAATTTAGAGGCAGGTAGAACACCTTTCGCCTCACTAAAGGATGTTGTGTAGATAGAGATTAGATTTCGAAAGAGAAGCTCATATTAGTGTCTCAAATTGATCGGAGCCCCATGAAGCTAATGAAGCTTAGGCTTCTGACGCTCCTCACTTGCGGAAGTCGTTCTCTGGGTGACCAGTGTGGACAATTTGGAGCAGTTAAGATTAGCAATTGCTACACACACACACACACACACACACACACACTGCAATGTCCACATCAGAAACGTACAGGGCCAATGACACTTTTAAAGGTCCTCGAGAAAAAATTTAATTTTGAATTCAGAAGGAAAAAAGAATGTAATCCAGCCTGGCGTAGATTCATTATTATAGCAACTCAGCCGTGAAATGTTATTTTAAAGATATCTTTTGGAAATAAAAGACCCATGAAAGCAGAACTGCCAGGGCCCATGAAAGCACTGGAGACTATGACCAATGTCATGTCATTTCATACGTGTAGCAATATAAAGATATACAGGGGAAGAGGGAGATTTGACTTGGGTTGGTGAACACACAAGACAATATACAGGTGATGTATTATAGAATTGTACACGTGAAACCTATATAATTGTATTAACCAATGTCACAGCAATAAATTCAATTAAAAAAGAGGGGAAGCCCTGGCTGGTGTAGCTCAGTGGATTGAGCGCAGGCCTGTGAACCACACGATCACGGTTCGATTCCCAGTCAGGGCACATGCCTGGGTTGCAGGCTAGTTCCCTGCAGGCCAGTTCCCACAGGGGGACGCACGAGAGGCAACCATACATTGATGTTTCTCTCCCTCTCTCCTTCCCCCCTTCCCCTCTAAAGATAAATAAATAAAATCTTTTTTAAAAAGTGGGGGGAAGGTACCCTAGCTGCATAGCTCAGTGGATTGAGTGTGGGCTGTGAACCAAAAGGGTCACCAGTTCCATCCCCAGTCAGGGCACAGGGCTGGGTTGCCGGCCAGGTCACCAGTAGGGGGCGTGCAAGAGGCAATCACACATTGATATTTCTTTCCCTCTCTTTCTCCCTCCCTTCCCCTCTCTAAAAATAAATAAATAAAATCTTTTTTTTTAAGAGGAAAAGAGAAAGACATTCATGAGAAACAAGCAGAAAATGCAAACTCAACCCCAGGTGAAGGAAGGAGAATGGTGGGGAGGTACCCAGAGGGCTTAGATTGCATCTGCAATGCTGCATGTTCTAAGTTTCTTAGTGAGTATGTGGAGTCTTTTATATTATTCTGAATCCTTTTCATATACAAAAATAGTTCATAATATGATAAATACAAATAAAAGATCTTCCTGTGTATTAGTCTTTTTTTAATGTTTATTTATTTATCTTTAGAAGGGAAGAGGAGAGAAATATCAATGTATGGTTGCTTCTGGTGCATCCCCTGCTGGGAACTGGCCCCTGCTGGGAACTGGCCCCTGCTGGGAACTGGCCTGCAACCCAGGCATGTGCCCTGACAGGGAATCGAACCTCGATCTTTTGGTTCGCAAGCCCATGCTCAATCCACTGAGCTACACCAGCCAGGGCCCTGTGTATTAGTCTTGATAGAATAGATTATGTTGCAAATAAGCAACCCCCCAACTCAGTGGTTTGACAGAATAAATGTGTATTTTAAATGCTACATCTCCAAGAAAGATGGCCACCGGGTTGTGTTCACTGCAGATAGTCTGGATCTCAGGCTGAGAGGAAACTTAACTTCAAGCAGCAGAACCCCGCGCCCCACAAGCACAGAATGGTAGGAGGAACAGAACGTGGAGACTGCTTCAGTCTAGCTCTCACTGCAGGCTGAAGTTAACACCCATTGCTTTCACTGATTGTGCATTGGAAAACAAAAAACAAACGACCGTGTCCGACTTCAGAGGAAAACGCAGTCTTACCACGGTCCCAGAAAGAGGATAAAGGAGAAACAGGGAATTTAGGAATGATCGTAATTCGGGGGCATGCCCTATGCTGCCCTTCCACTAAAACTGGACCTCCAAAGGTCTTCAGAGCCTCTTTTCCCACGGGGTTTCCACAGCACCTGTACAGTTTCAGACATGAGAACATGCGTACGTGATCCAGAGAAGTGTGGTGACTTCACACGGCCAGGCCATGGAAGGAATGTGTGGATGACTAGAAAGAACCCAGCCCAGTTCTTTGTGCTGCCGAAAACGCCTGTCTTTTCCCAAACGTCACACCGACTTGTGGATTCGAGCTACATCCCACCACCACTAGCGTTGCTGTTTGCAGAACATCTTTCTGTAAACAGATTTAAAAATCTTCCCGTTCGTAAACTTTGCTTTGCTGCGTTACCCAGAGCCACGCAGAGCAGGCGACGACAAAAACATGCAGTGTGAACACAAAACAAAGGTTATTAAATTCTGGCGAGTGTCAACTGACAGGTAGAGTCTATTAATGTGGGTGAAAAAGAGAGACAGACATTCGAGTTAGTTCGCAGCCCCCTAGCGCCCCGCGCAGGCTGTCTCCTTGCTAGGGAGGATAGACGACAGGTGATTTGGAAGGAAAGGCAAATGTCTCCAGGGGTGGGACAGCTCAGGCTACCTAAAGCCCCGCCCACTCTCCAGTGCGCCTGCGCGGCGGTTCAGACGCCCTCCGGCCCCGCCCCTCTCAGAGCGACCACCGGCATTGGGGGCGGGGCCTGGGCACAAGATGGCAGCCGAGCTCCCGGAGCCCCGGACTCCGAGCTCAACGGCCTCGGAGCCGCGCTCCCCAGAGCCCCCGGACCTGGTGCGAACAAGGAAAGGGCCTGGGCCGGGGACCTGGGGCGGGAAGAGGCTGCAGGGAAGGTGGCGGGGCAGAGCCGTGGCCTGTGAAGGTTGGGCGGGGGAGGCATTTAGAGCTCCGGCCTGGAGGCGGGGTTCCTGGGGGGTGGTGAGCGAGGGGCGTGCCCTGAGAAGGAGCCTGCGGGGTTGAAGGGCGGGGCTTTGGTGGGCGGGGCGTAAGAAGCGGTTGTGAGGACAGCCTGGACAACGGATGGGTCCAGGATTGAGTTTTTCTAATTAGGGGGTGGAGCCTCCAAAGGGACGGTGCCTCCGAGAGACACTGACCGGCTAGTGAAGTTGGCTGGAGGGATGGGGAAGGTGGTCTTGAAAGACAAAGAGTTGGGGGGGGTTAGGAGGCACCACGTTGGGGTGGGGGGTATGATTCCGTAAGGGTCAGAGCGAAGAGTCCGGAATACCCAAGGGAGGATTTTAGGGGGGAGAAATAGCTACTCCAGGTGACTTTGGGGGACCACTCCCAGGTGTCTCAGGAACTCGGGACTGGGGAGTGAGGACATTCATTCATTCAACAAACATTTACGGACTCTAGTTTGCCTGTGCTAAGTAGATGAATAGGTGAACGAGGCAGATAAAGACTGCTCTCTCGACGCTTGAGTCTTAGGGGAGAAAGGCATTAAGGAGATTTATTGTGTTGTGTTCTAGAAAGGAAATAAAGACGGAGTGCTGGAGTGGGGGCGGGGGAGCTAAATTTAGACGAGAGCAGTCAGCTGTAGACTGGCTTATATTTACTCTGGGGTCAGCGAGATAAGCAGGAGCCGGTCGCGATAGATATTACTATGACGGCTTTGGATTTTTAAGTGCCGTTGGAGCCACAGAAGCATTTTGTGGGGGAAAATGACTTGGATTTCCATTTTCAAAAGGTCTTTCGAGCTGCTTTGGCGAGATGGGTTATAAGGACCAAGCTAAGAACAGAGGCTCCATTCAAGGGGCTTTTTCCATTGTCAAGGCAAGAAATGACTGGCTTTTAACTGGAGTGGAGACGACATGGTTGGACAGTGATATATTCTGGACAGGAGGGGAAGTCTTGATGGGGGCAGAGCAGGTCCTAGAATCCAGGAGGCCCGGGATACTACAGAGGGATGGAGGTTTTAAGTCAGTGGGAGCGTGTTGGGCAGGCCTTGAGACAGGGTCCACAGGTTCCTCTTTTCTCCCCCGCCCCCTTCCCCAGGTGCTGGTGCCTGATGACAGCAGCCCCGCCACACCCCCGACCGACCTCATTGAGATCCAGGTGGTGAAGGTGACAGACACCACGCTGGTATGCGAGCCCCCGGAGCCAGGTTCTTTTCACTGTGCCTTGTGCCCGGCCGCCTTCCGGCTGGTCTCGGAGCTGCTGTTCCACGAACATGGCCACCTGGCGGGGGCTGAGGGCGGCGGGCAGGGTGCGGACCCAAGCCGGTGCCACGTGTGTGGCCACAGCTGCCCGGGCCCCGCCAGCCTCCGCGCCCACTACAGCCTGCACACCGGAGAGCGCCCTTACCGCTGCCCCCTCTGCCCCCGGGCCTTCAAGGCTCTGGCGCCCCTGCTGCGGCACCAGCACCGGCACGGGGTGGAGCCGGGGGCCTCTCAGAGGCCCTCAGAGGTGGCGGCCGCGGTTCGGGGACAGGAGCCCGGGGTGCCCCCCGAGCGGTCAGAGGTGGTGATGGCGGCGGCGGCGGCGGGCGCGGCGGTGGGGAAGCCCTTCGCCTGCAGGTTCTGCGCCAAGCCGTTCCGCCGCTCCTCGGACATGCGCGACCACGAGCGAGTGCACACGGGCGAGCGGCCCTACCACTGCGGCGTCTGCGGCAAGGGCTTCACGCAGTCCTCGGTGCTGAGCGGCCACGCCCGCATCCACACCGGCGAGCGCCCCTTCCGCTGTGCGCTCTGCGACCGCACTTTCAACAACTCCTCCAACTTCCGCAAGCACCAGCGCACCCACTTCCATGGCCCGGGGCCTGGGCTCAGGGACTCTGGGAGCCAGCAGGCGGCGGGGACTGAGGGGCCAGGGACTGGGTGTGGGGCGGGAAACACTCAAGAAGAGGGGTGTGGGGACACAGCGACTGTGAAGGGTGAGATCGACCAGTAGGCTGGTTAACAGGGGTGGTGAGCGGCAGGTGTCAGGGGAGGCGTTGGGTGGGACAAGGAGGCAGGTCACCGAAGAGGGGAGGCCGGGGGAGAGATGACATCATGGCGGCCAGTGGGAGAGCAGCTGGACGGCCAGGGTCAGGGCTCCCACAAATCCACACGGCAGCTCAGGGACTCGGAGAAAAGGCACAGGCGCAGCCCAGTGGGTGTCCAGCTAAGTGAGAGGAACGCGGGCTGGGTGCCCTTCCTGTCTGCCTGCCCTGGGTCGTCCTTGTGCGGGACACAGTGAGTCACAGCGGAGCCTGTGCCCCACACGGGGCAGATCTGGGGTGCACCACATTGTCCCTGGGCAGCTTTTAATCCACTGAACCCTGAAGTGTCTTGGGGCCTAGAGTGGGCTGGGGTGAAATCTGCCTACCTCACTGGGTTGCACTGAACTTCAGAGACCTTCCCACCCACCCTCAGGTAGAAGACACCGCCAGGTCCTCTGCGGAGACTCTGGAGTCCCACCACCTCAAAGCCATAGGTCCCCCAGGTCACAGCCCAGAGCACTTGGGCCTCCACAGTGTGAGCCTGACTGGCCACAAGGATCTCGATTGCAAGAGCTACTACCCCTGTCCCTGTGGTGGTCCCTCCTGAACCCACTAGACCTGCCTCCTTGTTCCGAGGCAACTGAGAATCCAGACAGCAAACAGCCACCCAACATCCCGCCCTCAAGGTTTTGCCTCACAGCCCCACACCTACAAAAGTAGCCTCAGGTTTCTCTAATCTCCTCCACTCCCAACCTAAAGCCAACAGTCTACAGCCTAGCCCCAGATGACCCGAAGGAAGGTCGGTGGATGGCCAGGTGTGGCGGGTGTGCCCTGAGAGTGGGGCCGAGGGGGGGACTTGGGGGCTGGAGGTGGGAAGCCTCCAGCTCCGTGCCTATTAAAGGACTTTCCGAAGGGTTTCTCCATGTCAGTCTGGTGCTTGGGTGGTCCGCCTTGTGGGATGGGGGCTGAGGGGCCACGCTAGAGTGTTGCCACCGACAACAGTGCCTTGCAGCACACCTTTCCCCGAACCTCGTTAGAATGGGGGTAGACGGCACCTGGCTGTTCAGGAACGGCTGGCCGAGTGAAGACTCGTGATCAGCATGCCTGTTAGGGAGAGCGAACCCAGACATGCACACACGGGCGCTCACCCAACACTCCCCAGGAGATGCCCCAAAGACAGGTCACGCCATGAACAGAACTCTTTCCCCCAAGGAAATACCCCTGTTTCCTTGTCTCCTGGTACCTGAGCTAAATGCATCCTTCATCTGCTTAATCTAGTCGATTGTCAGTTCCCAGTACTGAGCCAGTGAAATGGCTTTGGAACCTGAACACACCTAAGCACTTGCAGACCAAGCCCACAAGGCCTCACACGGTGATAACTACGAGACAGCCCAGCCTCCAGGGTCTGCCCCCACAGCCGTGTGCACCCATCAGAAACCCAGGCCCCCAGCCTCGTTGCCAGCCCACAGCTCGTGGGCTTTGAGAAGGAATCACAAACGTGGACACCTGCAGGCTGGAGCTGGGTGGCAGGTTCACAGTGAAAAGACAGAGACCGACAGGGGCTGAGTTGGGACTTGGGGTGCTGTGGGGACTGGGGACAGACTGGAGAATATGTGCCCCATCTGAATGGCTACTGAGTTCAGGAGAAGGCAGGTGGGGTTGCTGGAGTGTTCGAATTACTGAAGTTGCAATAGTTTTATATTATACAAAATGTTTTGATTTTCAAATGGCATCTATGTCAAACTTAAAAAAAAGGATGGGCTACTCAAGATGTGTAAGGGGCATGGGTCCAGGTTCCAGTCTCTGGGGTCATCCAGGCTCCACTACTTGTAATTCAAAGCCCCTCAGGATCCAGCCTCCCACACCCCAAGCTCTACACTCTTCAGTTGCTGGGTTTAGTGAGACACATTTGAGCCCTCCACCCGGAACCCTGTGCCCAGTTCACCTGGCCTTACATCACCACTCAGGAACCACTTTCTCCTGCAGGAAGCTGGTTGGGGCCCCCCATCTGATAAGGCAACTCCTCTGTGCTCCCTCAGCCTGTGTTTTTGACAGTGTGGTGCACCACACTCATGTGACTTTTGAGCCCCAGGATACTGGGGCTCACCTTCAGCATTAGAGCATGAGGACCGCACTGGGTGGCTGCCTTCCTGTGGGGAGTCGAACTGGACTGGGTGGACCGGCCCAGGCAGTGCCCTGACCCAGCTTGGTGTTCAAGCTTCACACAGGCACGTGGGAATGCAGTCCCAGCCCTAGCCTGGACCCTCCAGGCGGCTTTGGAGACTCTGTTCTCCAGGACCTCGGCTGTTGCTTCTGACAAATGGGATAACACCACAGGTTACAGGGCATGTATCTCACGGTCCTGAGAACACAAGCGAGGGCTGTGAATGGGCTTCTGGAACGCCCCGAAATTATCCTGAAAGGACAGGCACTAGGAGCAATCTGTACCAGAACCGCGAGTCCACACGGGGCCAGAACACGCAATGGCAGACCCGGACTCCTCTTCCATCTCACCTGGGGGCCGGGAGCATGTCCAGTTCAGGTTCTCAGAGCCCAGCAAAAGGGCTGACAGACGGGGCTTCGGGAAATGTTGGCTGGGAACAGGTGCACCTGGCACCTTGAAGGGGGACGAGTCTGGGCACGCTGTCCACTCCCAAGAAAAGACTTACCCACCTCGGATGCAGTGATTACTCAGTACATACCCGGTTGAGAGGCACGAGGATGAGGAAAGGCAGAGAGCATGGAGAAATCGAAATCCCAGGGAAACAAGTATTCTCACCCTTCCGATGGCCAGCACTTAATCCCCTCTCCCTGGGACACGAGGGAGGACTCCGTCGCCCTGGTGATAGGTTTATTATCTCTGCTCTGTACAAGCCGCGTCTGCCACCCGCCCCCCACCCCACAATCCGAAAGAGCACCCAGGCCCCTTGTGCCCTCCCAGCTCCAGTCGCATCCCGCTGTCCAGCCGGATCCCACCAGGGAAGGGCGGTTCACGCCCGCCTCCACCGAAGCTTGTCGGGAAAGAATGCTGCTGGGGCGGGGGGCTGACGGGGGTTACAAAGAAGGGTCGAATGGAGGATCAAATTTAGTGTCAGATGGGATGAGAGGAGGGCCAGAGAAGTCTAGTTTGGGAGTGATTCAGCCTTGTGTTTTGTACAGCGTGGGCCTCAGAGGAGGCTAGTCTGTCTGAAGTTCCGAAGAACGGAGAGGGCAACTGGTGAGGAGGGGCAGAGTCTGACCTGCGGCCAGCAAGGGGCGAGTCTGGAAGGGGACAGCTCAGTGGAGTGGTGCAGGGGAAGACCCCTGGTCAGGCCTCTTTCCCGGCCAACGTGCCGGCCCCTGCCCCAGGACCCCCGAGGCCCTCCGCCTTGTGCGCCAGGCGGTGTTTCTTGAGGCCGTAGGTGTTGGCAAAACCCTCACCACAGGAGGAGCAGCGGAAGGGCCGCCCGCCCTGGTGGGCCGCCAGGTGCTTTCGGAAGTAGCCCGGATCCTTGAAGGCCTTGAGGCAGGCTGGGCAGCGGAGCTCGGGCCGCGGTGGCTCGTGAGCACGCTGGTGGCGCAGCACAGAGCTCAGGTAGAAGAAGCCCTTGCCGCAGTGCTCGCAGCGGTAGGCACGCTCGCCCAGGTGCAGCCGCTGGTGCTCCAGCAGGTTGGAGCGGTAGCGGAAGGTCTTGCCGCAGGCGCCGCAGCGCTGGGGCCGGGCCACTGCATGTAGCCGCCGGTGCTCCGCCAGGCTGGACGACTGTGCGAAGCGCTTGGCGCACACGCCACACTTGAAGGCCCGCTCGCCCGTGTGCACAACACGGTGCTGCCGCAAGTACCAGGAGCGCAGGAAGCCTCGGCCGCACACGCCACACCGGTAGGGCCGCTGCTCCGTGTGGCAGCGCTGGTGGCGCATCAGCAGGGCCGCCTCCCAGAAGCGCTTCCCGCACACTGGGCAGCGGAAGCCCCGCTTTTGCCGGTGACTGCGCCGGTGCAGAAGCAGGTCGTAGGCGCCAGCGAAGCTCTGGCCGCAGAGGCCGCAGCCCATGGTCCGCCGCACCAGGTGTACGTACTTGTGAGTAACCAGGCCCAGGAAGTGCTTGAAGCTCTGGCCGCAAGTGGCACAGCTGAATCGCTCGGGGCCTGAGCTGGCGCCCCCACCGCCCCCAGCCCCTGCAGCACCTCCAGCATCATCACCCCCGGACACCCCTGCCAGCGCTGCCACGGCCGCGCCCACCTCCCCCGCCAGCCCATTGTCCAGCACGCTGGCTGCCTCGGCACCGCCAGAGGCATCCGCAGGCTGCTGGCCGCTGGGCGCGGGCGGGAGCAGGCGCTCGGGGGCAGCCTGGTGGACCAGCTTGTGCCACATCAGGTTCTCGATGAAGCCGAAGGTCTTGCCACAGGCATCGCAGCCATAGGGCTTCTCCGACATGTGGGCCTCTTTGTGGCTCATGACGTGAAAAAGATCTGGAAAGTGCTCACCGCAGTCCGAGCAGGGGTAGCTCAGGCCCTCGGTGGCCCCTGCGGCCGTGGCTGAAGTACCTGAACCACAAGCTCCAGGTGCGCCCTGGGCGGTGGGGAGGCCGGCAGCCCCAGCCAGAGCGCAGGGCAGCTGCAGCCGGTGCACCTGGCGGTGGCGCGTCAGGCTCTGTGGGTAGCCGAAGACCTTGCCACAGAGCTCGCACTTATAGGGGCGCTCGCGAGTGTGCACCACGTGATGCTTGCTCAGGTGGAAGGATTCACGGAAGCGTTTCCCACACACCGGACACTGGTGTGGCTTCTCGCCTGTGTGGATGCGCTCGTGGCGCTTCAGGGTCTCACGGCGCCCGAAGCCGCGTCCACAGATGCCACAGCAGAAGGTCTTTCCGGGGCCGCTGGCGCCCGCACTGCCTGTCCCGCTGGTCCCCGCGCCAAGCAGCAGAGGGTGTGCGCCCAGGAGCGGCACGGGCATGGCCCCGTACACCACAGCTGCTGCGGCCGCCGCTGCCTTCTCACTGTCTGTGGCAGGGGCGTCCGGCGGCAGCAAGTAGGGCCCGGGAGGAAAGGTTGGCCCGGGCTGTGAAACGGCGGCCACCGTATCCTTGGGTGCATCGGGGGTGGCAGGCGGTGCATGTGCAGCCTTGTGGCGGAGCAGGCTCTGAGGTGCTGAATAGGACTTACCGCACAGGTCGCAGGGATACATGGGCCGGGGCCCCGCCGCGCCTGCGTGCGCCGCCTGGTGCTTGAGCAGGTAGGCAGCGTCGCGGAAGGCCTTGCCGCAGACCCCGCATGGCAGGCGCAGGAGGTCGGCTGAGTGCGTCTTCACGTGGCGCTTGAGGCTCTCCCTTCGGTTGAAGCTCTTGTTGCACACGGAGCACGAGAAAGGCTTCTCGCCCGTGTGGATGATCTGGTGCTGGTGCAGGTGGCTGGGCTTCTTGAAGACCTTCCAGCAGAGTGGACAAGCGAATGGGCCCTCACCACCACCACCGCCTGCCGCCGCCGGAGGAGGCACCCCCACACTTGCCGGTGCGCCCGGGGCCGTGTTCCCTTCTGCAGAGGCTGCAGGAGCGGAAGGCGTGGGTGGTGGGCCAGCAGGGACCGGTGTGGGCGCACCAGGGGTGGGGGCCCCGGGGGCGGGGGCACCAGCGGTGGGGAGAGCGGGCAGACCCAACGGTGGGAGGGTTGCACCTGGTTGTGGTAGGACCCCTGTGGTGGGCGGGGCATCTTTGTGGCAGCGGCGGTGGCGGATGAGGCTGGAGACGTGGTTGTAGGTGCGGCCACAGACGCCGCACTCGTAGGGCCTCTCCCCCGAGTGCACCAGCATGTGCTGGACCAGGTGAGAGGACTGCTTGAAGGACTTCTGGCACACGCCGCACGGGAAGCGCCGCTCCATCAGGTACTTCAGCCTACGGAAGTAGCCCTTGTCGTCCTTGGTGGGGTCACAGGCCGCCCCTGCAGCGGGCCCCGGCGGGGTCTGTGAGGGGGCGGGGAGTGGCCCGGGTGTCCCAGCGGCAGTGGCCAGCCCCGGGGCCACCCCTGGCCCAGAAGTGGGCCCTCCACGTTTCAGGTTCCCAAACAGGTGCTGGTGTCCTGAGAGGTCCACAATGCCCCACTGCGGGGCCGGGAAGGCAGCGTCAAAGAGGGGGGGCGGGGGCGCCCCGAAGGCGGGCGGCAAGGGTGGGTCGGGCTTCTTGGCTTGGGAGGAGGAAGAGGAGGATGACGATGATGAGGTGGACGAAGCGGAGGATGAGGACGAGGAGGGCGTCTCAGCCTTAGGCTTGAAGGCGGCCTGGGGCGGGTAGTCATACTGGGGTGGCGGGGGCTGCGGCGGCGGCTGCGGTGGGGGCCCGGGGGTGCAGGGCAGGGCCGCCACCGCCTTGGCGTGCTCCCCGTACAGCTCCATGGGCTCGAAGCGCTGGTGGTTGAGGAACTCCAGGAAGTCGAAGGGGTAGCTCTGGAAGTGCACCCCGTCCTCGCCCCCAAGGCCGCCGCCCCCGCCGCCGCCTGCTGCGTTTGCCTCCATCTCAGCCGGGTGGGGTTGTGAGACCTTGTAGAGAAAAGGAGGCAGCTGAGCCAGCTCCTAGGAGGGGCGTGGGATCTCCCGGGCGCGAAGGGGGCTGTGTGCGAAGGAGACTCACCCCCACCCCCCACCCATATTCTCCAGTGCTCACACATCTCTCTCCACCACCTCCCCACCCTGCACCCATACAGGCTTTCTCTACTTCTCAGACCCCAGTTCTCCCAGCATCCCTGATCTCTGGTCTCAATCCTCTGCAAACACTCAGGCCTCTCTGCTCTATGCCCTGCCCCCCCAACCCCTGCCCCCGACATCAGCCCTCTGTCCCCTCTGGTTCTGTTCAATCAGGATAATTGTTTCTATCAGAGTGGTTAAAAGGGTGGCCCCTGGAACCAGAATGCCAGGAGGGAATCTAAGCTGTGTGACCACCAGCGAGTTCCTGAACCTCTCTGTGCCTGGATTTCCTCATTCACAAATAAAGGTGACAAAGCACATCCCTACTTCACAGCTGACAGGGTGGGAGCTAACAGAACCACAAGGCCCTCGGGGGAGGCTGGCCCCTGGCACTCTGCGAGCACACAGTCACTGGAAGGTGTCATGTCGCTACCACTGTCACTGCTGGCAGGAACAGAGGGTGGGCAGACAAAGAGGACGGGAGTGGGGACAGTGTCGGGAGGGGTGGGGAGTGGTGCTGGACTGGGACAAACGGGCTGCCACAGGGGGCTGGCAGACAGGGAAGGCGGCCTGGCACAGCGGGAGATGGGTGGCTCGGGTCCCACCTGGGTTCGGGTCCCACCTCCTCCCCACAGTCTCTGTTGCTAAAGGGGCAGTAACCCCGAGACTGCAGGGGAGTTTAAGGGGCTGAACAGGATGTAAGGTAACGCACTGGCTGGCAGAGCTCACAAGGTCCCCGGGGTTCTTTGGACCTTCAGTGATGTCACTTGCCTGGGAAAAGCCCGATGACAGCTGCTTAGGGAGCCTTTTCCTGTCCCCTCCAAGATGGTGGTCATTCTCTGGGTGCCTTGTTTAAAAGGCTTTTCCTTCCTGACTGCAGCTGCCCACCTCACTGCCCCCCACCCCAGCTCCTGCAAATGACCCCAGAGCCTCAGCAAAAACTTCTGCTGCATGGAGGGTGACAGTGGGAGAAAGCCCCCAAGGTCTGGTGTGCTTCTCAACCACCATCCCCGCCCCGGGGGGGCCGGCTCTGCACCTGCACCCCACAGCAGGAGTCGGGGGGCTCAGCAAGGCCAGGGCCTGTCGGCCCCCAGCCATCTGGCTGGCTCCCTCCCCTCAGGTGAAAGGTGAGTGTCTCCTCCACCCCTGCCAGGAGGTGATATTTTTAGCTGCCCGCGCTGGGCGTCCTTGGAGGAGACCCAACATCCCATGTCCTTCACGCCCTCTGGTCCATCTCCTCTGCAGAAGGAGCACAGGCGTGGCTGGCGTGGGAGCGGAAGCTGGGAGTGGGGAGCCAGGGCTGGCGTGGCAGGTGGACATGGAGGAAGCAAGCGGTAGAGGGGTGCAGGGAGGAGGGGCGAGCGGGTGGGCGGGAAGGTGTCCGGGCAGAAGCCACTGCCAGGCCCCCTCCATCAGCACACACAGGGCTAACAGCTGCCCCTGACCGGGCATGGCCTGTAGGCTGCCGGTCTGAGCGAGCTGTGTCTCGTAACTCACAGAATCCCCAGCACGACGCTACGCAACTACGACCCAGGGACAGTGCCTGTGCCCACTTGACAAATGAGCAGACAAGGTACAGAGAAGTCCAACAACTTGCCCAAGGTCCCAGTCAGTCTGGGACTCAACCACACCCTCTCCCCACAAGGTTGTTCCCTGAATTAGGGGCAGATAGGGGTAGAACCGAGGAGTTAGGGCCCCTACTTGGGGGTGCTCCCTGGATTGTAATGGGCCCCGGAGAAGAGGAATGTGGCCCCTGTCCTGAGCACACAGAAGCGCGATGTACTGAGGCTGCACCGTCTACCTGACACGTTCTTCCCTGCACCTCAAGGCTTCCTCCTGCCTCCTTCGGGTCTCTGCTCTGATGTCATCTCATCACTTCCTAGCCCCTTGTCTAGCTGCAGTTTTCGTCACAGTCACTGCCTCCAACTTACTGGGTCCATTTCATTTGCTGTGGGTTTCCTGTCTGGCCTCCACACCCAACAGCAAGGACTCGCCCGCCCTGTCCGCCTCTGTGCCTGGCCCCTCGCACAGGGCCTGGCGGAGTGTGCGCGCTCTATAAAGACCTGCTGCCGCGGAATGCAACATCACCCTCCTCCATCACCAGGGCGCCCACGAGGAAAGCGCCAGGGAAGTTAGCAGCATGGAAATGCAAATGCAGCCTACTTGGGAGATGCAGCCAAAGCAGTGCTCAGAGGCAAATTTATAGCTGTAAATGCCTCCACTGATAAATATTTGTCGAATGAGTAAAAAGGTAAAACTAAGGTGACCGGAACATCCCCAGGAAGGGAGGGGGACATGGAGCAGTGTCTGAGCTGACACCGAGGTGGGTGCCTGGCAGAAGGAATCAGGGAATGCTGATGTTATGAGGGCAGGTGGGAGGAGGCTGCAGGGCTGCATGCCGGGAGCAGGGGTGCTCCTGGGGGACAGGACTGCTCAGGGTCATGCTCATTCCACTGAGAAATCACAGACGTTTCCGCTTTCAGGGGACCCGAGCCTTCCACTGGTGTCTCTCTAAGGGGAGATGGCCATGAGGGGGGGGGGGTTCCTGTCAAGTGTCACAGGGCAACGGTCTCCAGGGACAGGAGCGCCACAGCAACCACAGCCACAGAGCAGCTCCTGTTTATCGTTGGAGCGGATCGACAGGACCCATCACCTTGATGCATCACAACAGCCCTGTGCCGTCACTGGTCCCATCTTACAAGTGGGGAAACTGAGGAGAGGGGTGGAGACTGTTTCTCCCAGGTCACAGGGCCAGTAGAGGGGAAAGTGGGTATTGGATTCCAGATCTCTCTTTTAAAAGATTTTATTTATCTATTTTAGAGGGAGGGGAAGGGAAGAAGAGAAGGAGAGAAACATCAATGTGTGGGTGCCTCTCATGTACCCCCCGACTGTGGCCCAGGCACGTGTCTTGGCCGGGAATTGAACCAGCGACCCTTTGGTTCACAGGCCAGCACTCAAGCCATGAGCCACACCAGCCAGGGCAGATTCCAGGTGTCTTTGATGTCAGGACCTGTGGGCCATTCCCCTGCATCAAGTTGCCTTATGATAAAACTCCAGCCTGTTCATGCCAATAACGGTAACACCTAGTAGCATGTAACACTGAATGATGGTATGATATCTACAGACCAAGCACCCGTCTACCTCTTTTACAGTGTCCACTCAGTGAACCTTCCCAACAATCCTAGAATACGGTTACAACTGTTAACTGTCTCACAGAGGAAGACCCTGAGGGCCAGAGAGATAAATTAATCTCCGCAAGTCACACCATCACAAGTGGCAGGGCCAGGGGCTGAGGCCAGGCTGTGGGGCTCCAGCATGTATGCTTTGACCCCCTCCTTGCTGCCTTTCAATATTTTTTCTAAACAAAGGAAGGTCCCCACCCCACCTTCTACGGCAAATATACTTGGTCTCACACACCAGGCTGCCACCCCTCCCCAGGACTAGCCGCCAGCATTTACTGAATGCAAACAACCACTGTACTAGGTCTATGACGTGGCACGTCTCCATCAAACTTCAAAACAGCCCTGGCTGGTGTAGCTCAGTGGATTGAGCGCAGGCCTGCAAACGGAAGGATCGCCGTTCGATTCCCAGTCAGGGCACATGCCTGGGTTGCAGGCCAGTTTCCAACAGGGGATGCATAAGAGGTAACCATACATTGATATTTCCCTCCCTCTCTCCTTTCCTTCCCCTCTAAAGATAAATAAAATTTAAAAACAAAAACAAAAAAAACCCTTCAAAACAAGACTCAGGAGATAATTTATAGGCAAGAACACTAGACCAACCATGCAGTGACTGCATCTCACTCAAAGTCCTTTCGATGACCTACACAGTCCCCATGGCCCCCCTGGCTGCCCCTCCCACGTGCCAGCTACATTCCCGCCCCGGGCCTTTGCACTGGCTGTTGCTGCTGCCCAAATGCTCTGCCTCAGTCCCCAACCTCCTTTACATCTTTGCTCAAAGTCCTCTCCTCAGAGAGGCTCTCAGGCTGCCTATAACCTGTCCTTCAGACCGACCCTCCAGCACTCCCCAAATGGCTCAATTTCTCTCCTAAGCAGTCAGCGACCCCTAATAAACCACACACACTCCACTTGTTAGTCTTGCTGCTGGCGGTCTCTCCCTCTAGGAGCTGGGCTCCATGCACACCAGGATCTTCACTTGATTTGATCACAGCTCTATCCTCAGGACCCAGCACAGTGCCTGCCTCCATAAATAATTGTTAAATGAGTGAGAAAGAGGCCAGGAAAAGATGGAGTGGTTTGCTCGGTGACATGAACACCAGTGGCATCCAAGGTTCATCCTCTTAACCATTTCATTCTCAGGGGAGGGGGGCTGAGAGCCACCCCCAGGGTGGGCCACAGTTGTCCCTGAGAAGGGGGTAATTTTTTGGTGCACAGCTTTTTGGAGGGACAAGATGACAACAGGAAATTCTTGATAGAGGCTTCCTGCCACCCTCTGACACTGCAGCCTTTGTAACACTATACACTTATCCTGTTGGATTTTCTTCACGCACACGTCTTTTCTAACTGTCTACCCCATGAACTAGCATATGCACCCCACAAGGATGAGGGGTTCTATTTTGTTCCCTGTTGCATGCCCAGTGTGTAGTAGGCAAATGGCAGTACATCTTGGGCTTGGTAAAGCGGACAAAGGCCAGATGACTGATCACGATGCCCCAACCTCCAGGATCCTCTAAGATCACACCTTCTCTCCCCTCACTCCAACCTCTTGGGCCTCCCAGGTTGCTCCTACACTCGCCATGCTCACACCCACCTCAGGACATTTGCACTGCTCTTCCCTCTGCCTGCAGCAGTCTCCCCATATCTCTGCATGGCTAAGTAAGCTCTGCCAATTCAGGCTGCACCTCTGAAGTAGCTACCAGGCTCTCACAAAACAGCACTGATCACGTTTGATTACTTGTTTTTGATCTGTGTGCTCAAGTAGCCTGTTGAAACCATAGAAAGAAAGACTGTGTGCCTATCCCTCCTTCACAGCTATATGCCCTGGACCTAGAAGAGTGCATATCCGTTCAGTGAAGATCGAAAGAATGGATGGATGCCTGGGCAGAAAAATGCTCCTGCCCCAGTGAAGCTAGGGGTCTTCTGCAGGGAGTCCAGGAGGATGGAGTGAGAGCTGGGTGAGCAGGGGCAGGTTAGGATGAGTTCATAGAGCCTGGGGAAGAGGCTCATTCTGAGAGTGAAGGCCTCATGGAGGGGCGCTGCCCCTGTGGAACAAGGACCAAAGGCAGGACGCGACCCGGAAAAAGACGGGGTGGGAACTGGGGCTACACTGACAGCGATTCCTACTTGAAAAGAGAGAGGATGTGAGAACGCACCTCTAGAGGGAGCTGTTCTATGCGGGGAGGGTCTGAGGGGTGGAAAGGGGGTATTTTCAACGGTAATTACTAGGGAGGAGGGTGGTGCAGAAGGAAAAAAAGGTATTCTTTGCCGCTGACCAGAAGTGTAAGTATTTTTATACCAAGGAAGGCGGCGTTGGGGAGGGAGTGGTTAGGAGTTTTGGGGGGCTGTGTGTGTGTGGACAGAGGTAATGGGGGGCATTCCGCTGTAAAGAACAAATGCAACACTCTTTGGTGGCAACCCATAGGGGCAGCTAAGGGAGGGTTCGGGAGTAGCTGCTCTGCGTGGGGGAGGGCAATGCTGGTGGCATTTGGGGAGCTGTCCTGGAGGAAGCAATAACGGGGGGCTACGTAGAAGAGAGCCGACCAGAAAGCAGCAGTATAGAGAAGCTCCACGAAAGACAGTGCTTTGGCCGCCGTCCTCCGGGGGGATGTTAATGGGCCAGATATCTGGGTGCTCATATGGGGGAGCAGTGATGGGGGCCCCTGGCGAGGGCCCGGCGCGAGAAGCACTGATGAGGACGCTCTGAGGACCAGAGCGGGCCTGGGCGGGAACCCCCGCCCCCCCGCCCCCAGGCCCCCGGGCCACGCGCCCCGTCACTCACCGGCGCCGGGGTCTCCGCCGGGAGGAGACCGAGGAGGCGGAGGAGGCGCCGCCGCACAGGGGAGACCCGAGGGCCTGACCGGAAGTGCCGCCCCCTCCCCCTCCCCGGCCGCCCCGCACCGCCCGCCTGCCCGCCTGCCCGGAAACGGAAGTTGCGCTCGTCTCCGGGGCGCCGCCGTGAAGAAGCGGAAAAAGAAGGCTACGGCGGTGGCGGCGGCGACCGGGAGAAGGAAGTGCGCCTGCGCACTAGCTCGGGGGGAAGCAAGCGGGGAAAGCCTAGGCGACTTCCGGTGGGCGAGCCAAGCAACTGCGCCTGCGCCCCTGGGGCACCGCTAAGATCTTCCAGTTAGGCCACGCCCCTTGCACAAATCTCACGCTTAAGCCCCACCCCTGGCCTGAGACTTTTTTTTTCAGTTTATCACAAACCCCGCCCGACGTCTCAAAATACGACCTCCTCGCCTTGGGCCCACAAATTTTCTCTTATTCGTTTCCACCTACAAGACCTCACTCTGGAACCTGACCTCTTCCAACTAAGCCCCGCCCTCAGTCACGCCTCTTTCCTCTAGACCCCGCCTCTCAAGCGGTTTAGGTCGAACCACGCCCCCTTAGCTAAGCTCCGCCCCACGTTCCCCAGCTTTTAAGCTCCCCCTCTCACAATTTTAATGTGATTTTGTGTCTCGAACCTCTAAACTTTCTAAAGCCTTCTCTTAAAACAGTGGTTTTCACACTATGGTCCAAACACCAGCAGCAGAGGCACTGTTAGAAATGGAAGTTCTCGGGTCCCCTAATCCAGACGTCCTGAATCTGTAACCCTGGGGGTACAAACTTTAGTTATAAAATATAGCAGTCACGAAGACGTCATTCGCAGCATAGCGAGTATACTCAATAACGTCGTAATAACTTCGTATGGTGACAGATGGTAACTAGACTGATTATAATTATTTCGTATAGAAATACCAAATCCCTATGTTGCAGCCCTGACTGGTACATCAACGAAAAATAAATAACAATAAAACCCTTTAGGTGATTCTAATGCGGGCGGAAGTCAGAAGCACAGCTTTACCACACACTTGACACTGCCCCTCTCATATATCTCTGCAAACCTCGCCCCTAACTCAGCCCCACCCAAAGCAGCTAAGCCCAGTTCTATCTAGCCCATCCTGCTAAGCTCCCCCTCTCAGGGATTCCTTTAGTCACTCCTCTCTTAGGTACCCCTTCCCTTCCCTTGGCCTGAATAGCAGTCATGCCCACCTCTCAGCATCTCAGTTCGTTCCCACCCGCCCTGAACCTTGCTCTCCTAGTTTCCCCTTGAAGCCCCTCCCCTCAGGTAAACCCTATCCAATCCTCTAAATCGCTCACTTTCTGCCCCCAGTCCGTAAAACAATTTAAGCGCCACCCCAGTTCATACATCCCTCCTAAGCCGCGCCCATAGTTCTCACCTCCCTGCCCAATAAACTTTATGGCTCAGTCCCAGCCCCCACCTCCTACTTCCTTTGCAGGTTCCTCCAGTCCACACCCACTACCTACCTAAGCCTTGGCAACGTTGTCAGTTCTGCCAGGGACTACCAACTTAGTTTTTCCTTCCAAACAGGGTCAGGACAAAGAGATGGGACAAAGTGGTGGCTGCAGAATTTCCAGGAATCTGGCTGGAATGGGGATGGAAGCCTAGAGTCACCTCTGTACAGAAGGGTCAATGTTCTACTTAGAGTGAATATTTAGGGGACTGCTTTGGGGTCTTCTAGATGTGGAAGAGGCTCCCCACAAGCCACTTTTTTAGCGCCAAGTTAATGAGGCACATGACATGGGGACCCCCAAATTCCATGCACTCCCATGGGTAGTAAAGTGGCAGAAGGGTATCTGAAAGGAATAGAGAAGGGCCAGCCCTGGTACCATCACTGAACACACACAGGAAGCCAGAAGGCAGTGATTTATTCTCATGGCTCTTGCCTCCAAGGGCCTGTCAGTCCAGGAGTGGGTGGCAGAAGGCAGCAGGGCCCAGAAGTTTAGGTCCTTACCTGCAACCCCCTCCCACAACAGGAAGACCACGAGACCTGAGGGTGTTCCAGCCTCCCTGCCCAGGTACAGCACCAGCTGAACCCCCAGCTCTAAACTTGACCTGGGGAGGGGTGGCTGGGGGTGTGGGTCAGGCTGGCTCTTTCCCTCCCAGCTCCTCCTCCTCTTCCTCGGCCCCTGCTGTGGCCGGGATGCCCTCATCGTCCCATGGTGGCTCAGACCCTGGGTCCAGGGGACACACGGGTGCCCCCACGGCCTCAGGGTGCTTGCGTTTGGCATGGCGGCGGAGCGAGTTGGCCTCTGTGAAGCGCAGCCGGCAGATAGGGCACTGGTAGGGGCGCTCCCCGGAGTGGACGCGGTGGTGGTGGGCCAGTTCACCCGCCTCTCGGAAGCGGCGGGGGCACAGTGGGCAGCGGAAGGGCCGCAGGCCGGCATGGATGTTGCAGTGCCGCCGCAGGTGGCTGGACCGCTTGAAGGTCTTGCCGCAGTCCTTGCACTCGTGAGGCTTCAGCTCAGAATGCGAGATGCTATGGCGCTCCAGGTCCGAGAGGTAGGGGAAGGCCCGCAGGCACACCGGGCAGAAGTGCGGGGCCTTCTTTGGGCCAGAGCCCTCAGGCCCACCTGCTACTGACCCTTCAGAGACTGTATAGGGCACACCCTGATCATCGATCAGCAGAAGGTCGCTGCCACTGTTGCTGCCCACAGGGACTGTCACCCCTTGCACCAGCGGGGACTCCTGCCCTGACTTGGGGGGGCGGCCCCGCTTCCGAGGGAGGCAGGCCTTGAGCGTCTGATTGGAGGAAGTGGCCCCCCCAGCACGTCCGCCTCGGCGGCTCCGGGAAACAGAAGGACGTAAGGCCAGAGGTTTCTCTTCTTCCTCAGGCAAAGACGAAGGCAACGGGTCTGGGCTAGGGGTGTCCATTGAGCAGTGGGGGCCTTGGGTCTGGGCACCAGAGCCGGGCTAAGAGGAGAGAAAGAGCAGCTGTCAGCGCAGGGAGGGTCTGGAGCACCCATTGTCCCCTAAGACCTCACCCATTCCTTTGTCTGGGTTTCACAGCTGGGCATGGCTGACATTTACCTGGATCCACAATTATAGCGATGCTGGTGAGGAAAAGAGCAAGATAATTCTGTGCCAGTTGGTAAACAGGCACTGCCCTGAGCCTCACAGGTGTTCCCCAGGCCTCCCGGCCCCCTGCCAAGGATCTCGAAGTTCAAGGTCAATTTGAGCCAAAATAAAGAAAAATTCAAAGTAAAGAAGGGAGTACAGAGTCCGACTGAGGGTACAGGCCAGTATTGTGATCCTTAAAGCAGACAGTCCATCAAACCCCAGAGCCACAGAGGCCTGAGAAATGTTTTTGTCCACTCTCTCGATTGGCAGAAGCGGGAGGGCAAGGGGTTCAGGACCAGAAGAAAGGGACTGGTCCCAGGTGATGTTTGATCTGGAGTCGGTGAGGAAATATATTGGAGTCTGGTCTCCGGAGTCAGATGTTCTGGGTTCGATTCCTCAGTCTGTCACTTACTCTCTCTGTGGCTTTGGGTAAGGTGCTCACTTTCCTAAGCTTCAGTTAAGCCTTCTGCAAAATTGGACGAATAGTCCCACCAACTTGCAGGAACATGCCATGAGGGCAATACACATAAAGTGCTCAGTAGACAGAGCACTTAGGAGACATTATCCCTCTGAGTAAGGTCACAATCACCCTCGTTTTCCAAATGGGAAAACTGAGGTACAGGAAAGTCAAGTCAGTTGCCCAAGCTCCCTGTGTCAGGAAGTGGCGGGGCTAAGATTCGAATCAGATATCACGCAGACACAAGAGCCCAGGGAATGAGAAGAAAGGGACTCGGGACAAGAGGACTTCATGGGGTCCGTTGGTCCTGTGTTTGAATGCAGCTCTGTGAAGTGGAAATGCCAGAGTTGACCGTTGGCTCATAGTACGGACTCGATAAACTACCTCCACCACCGCCATCATCATCAGAGCTCCAAGGAACTAGGGGAGAGGGAGTTAGCACAGGTGTAGTTTAGGCGCAGGGGCCGCAGGTGCCACTGCGCCCTCTTGGAACAGGCACACAGGCGGAAGCCCAGAGGCGGGACAAACACTTTTCCTGGATTGCAAGGTTCACTCCGCTGGGGGTACCTGGACTACAACCAGAGCCTCCAGAGCTGGGTTCCGACCCTCGCCCTCCATCCTGAACACTAGCAGACGCGCGCCCGGCAGCCCCCGAGCGCGTAAGGCGGGCCCTGCGGGGGCGGCGGCCAATGAGCGGCGCCGGGCCGAGGACGGTGGGGGCCGCCAGGAAGGGGGTCTGCGCGAGCGCGCGCGCCCGGGCCGGCTCCGCGGGGCGCGAGGTCGGTGAGCGCACGCCGCTGGGAGCGCAGAAGCAGGAGCAGGTGTTGGGGGGCGCGCTCCGGGAGCGCGCGGCTCCAAGCCTTCCCTCCCTCCGCTCCCCTTCCCCCGCCCGGACCCCCTCCTCTCGGGTACCTCATTTGCATGTCGCCAGGGCTCGAGAGTGTGCGCGCGCGGGGGGCTACGGGGCCGACGCATGGGAAGGGGCGGGGGAGAAGGGGCCCTGCCCCGCGGTGGCGCGCACGACAGACAGCCCCGCCCCTCAGAGCGGCTGCTGGAGGCCCCGCCCACCACCCCACCCCGTTGGACCCGCGCCCTCTGGGAACAAAGGGACGTGCTGGGTCCTAAGGACCGCGAACATCAGCGCCTGCGCGCACGGCGCACTAGCTGACCCCCGAGCGGGAAGTAACCCACCGACACAACCCAACCAGGTAGAAATGCCTTTCCTTCCACAAAGTGCCCGGTCAGAGACCCAATCAAACACAAGTACCGAAAGGATGAGAAACGGGAAAATGGCTGCTCCTTCCCGTAATTAACATGGCGCCTGATAAGCTTCAATGCCTCTTGGAGGGCTGAGGACAAGATGGAGCCTGCTGTTTCCTTCTACCTATCGCGATAGGACTTTAATTTCTCTCTTCTCCTGATGCAACTCTAACATCCTACTCAGAAGGAGCCTGAGGCTGCGAAAATGGACTCAGATCTGCCCTCACTCGCCAGCGTCGACACCGCTGGAGGAAGGCGGCACGCTGAGCCTGGTGCCCTTAGTCTGTATGGCGCTGGGGTCACCCTGAGCCCCGCCCCTCTTCCTGCCCTTACCTAAGATGGCGCTGATCTGGCTTCTCTCATAGTGCTGGGAAAGAGACGGGAAAGAGGGAGAAGGGCGGGCGGCTGGGAGGGGGAAGGCCAAGAAGGCGGGAGAAAGGGGGAGTACTAGGGAAAGGTAGCTGAGGCGGAAGTCAAGGGGCCCCCCGGGTGGAAGTGACGCTACCCCCGCTGCCCAAAATGTCGGCGCCCAGAGGGAGGTGTAAGTAATTAAAGAGGAAAGCCGACTGACTTTCCTGGCCTCCCGCGGCCGCCCTAGGGCTCCAGAACCCCAGCGCAGTACGAGCGAGGTGGACTCGCCTGGTCGCGGTCCCGCTTAGCCTGCCCCCACACCGGGCGCCCGGGGCCGCACCTTTTAGGGATGGGGGGGAGGGGTACAAAAGGCCAGCTCTGAGCGCCTGGGTCCTGGTGCAGACTGGGGAGGGGGCAGGCCCCTCAGGCTACTGGGTGGGGAGGAGGCGGGGCCTAGTGGAAGTTGAGGGGCGGGGCAATGGTTGGGAGGAGTCTGTGGGCGTGGCTTATGGATAGGATAGGTGGGGCTTGGAGGGAGCGGATCCACGGGTGGGGTGGGAGGAGCTTAAGCAAAGGGGTGGGGCTGTTAGAGGGGCGTGGCTCAAAGTTGTGGAAGGACCCGAGGCTGCAAGGTCCTAATTAGAGTTGAGTGGGGGAAATGGGGCTTAGAGTAAAGGCAGGAGGAGGTTAGAGTAGAAGGGGTGGAGTTTGTACCGGGGCGTGGCTTAGAGAAACGTGGACAAAGTGACGGGGTGGGGTTTAGGCGTGTGATTTGGGGAGTCAGTGGAAATAGCAAGTCTTTATAATGCAGGTGAAATGACTTAGGAGGCCTGGGGCGAGACTCGGAAGGGTTGAGAAAGTGAGAAGTGTTGGATAGGCTGGGTCTTGGAAAGGACGGGGCTGACTTCAAGGCTGGGTTTGTTAAAGACAAATTGAGTGGGGTTTGGCGGCAGATCTTAGTGGGGAAGTGACGTGGGACTTAAAGAGGACATTTGGAGGAACTTAGTAGATAGCAGTGACCGCCACTGGTAAGCTAGGTCCTCCTATCACTCGTATTTTGCAAGTGAAAAGAGTTTCAGTGGGTTTTATCTGAGGTTCCAGGACTTGAATCTTCAAAGAAGAGTGGAAGGCGCTTACAGTGGAGTGGGAGGGGCTTGTCAAGGAATAGAAGAGGCTCCTGGAACAGTGTTGAGGGACTTTGGAAAGAGTAGGCGGGATTCGAGCAAGAGTGGGTGGGGCTTAGAGTAGGAATCTTCACAAAGAGTGGATGAGACAAATCACTGGGGTAAAGGCGACCGGGTGTGATTAGGGAGATTATGAGCTGAGTGGGAGAAGGGTTTGTAGGGGAATGGGTTTAAAGACCATGGGCATGGTCCTGGTGGGAGTGGCTTAAAGGTTAGTGGTCAGGACTCCAAGAGGATAAGTGGGGGGGTGTGAGTCCCAAGAGCCTGATGTGGGAGGGCTAAGGGGAGGTGACTTCCTCACCTTCCCTCGCTGTCTCCCTCGCTCCAGAGAGCCCCCCACCCACAACTGCCCTCACGCCACGCCACCATGGATGACGCCCAACTGGCAGCGCCCCCTGTCCCTGCCCCGGCCCCAGCACCGCCCGCCGCCGCCCCCCGAGTCCCGTTTCACTGCAGTGAGTGTGGCAAGAGCTTCCGCTACCGCTCGGATCTGCGGCGCCACTTCGCGCGTCACACTGCTCTCAAGCCCCACGCGTGCCCACGCTGTGGCAAGGGCTTCAAGCACAGCTTCAACCTGGCCAACCACCTGCGCTCGCACACGGGTGAGCGGCCCTACCGCTGCTCCGCCTGCCCCAAGGGGTTCCGAGACTCCACTGGCCTATTGCACCACCAGGTGAGTCCTGCAGGCCCATCCAGCTGCCCCCCTGGGCTGGACGTGCCCTTGGCGCCCCAGCCCCACCCTGGGCAACAGAGAAAACTTTTTTCCTCTTCCTCGCTCCCAGCCAAAGCACCCTGACCAGTCAAAGCACCAGGGCTTTCTCCTCCAGTCTCCACCTATTTAGGGATCATAGTACATGTGCCCCACCTGTAGGCCCCTCTTCTACCGCACCCCCTGCCCACACACCCTGTTCCCCTGCACACCAGCCTCTGCAGTTTTGTGTTCACTGTCCCCTTGCCACTTTTAAAAACAGATTTACCGCGTATGTACTTAATTGTTTTATTCAGCGATGATCTGTTGAGAGCTTTCCCTGCTCCCAACGCTGGGGTCGCCAAAGGAAAATCAGTCTAGGCCTAGCGTTTGGAGAAACATCCATTCCACCGAAGATAGACAATCATCGAGAAAGCAAATACGCAGGCAAGAATGTTCTGGAAAGGGAGCAGTGTTGGGAAGGAAATGAAACAACAGCAAGCCAATGTGCAGGAGTAAAGTGGGGGAGAGCCAGGGGCCACCAGACAAGGTGGGGCAAGGCAGGGCAGGGTGCTGTTTGAGCTGAGACCTGCAGTGTGAGCAGGCCTCTGCCGTGGGAACAGCACTGCAGGCAGAGGGAACAGCAAGTGCAAACGCCCTGAGATGGGAGGCCATGTGGTTGGGGTAGAGTGAGCCTGGGGCAGAGCGGAAGGAGGCTGAGTCATGAACACCTTCCTGGCTGCTGTGAGGGGTGGGACCGTATTCCATGAGCCAGACATTCCCGCTCCAAGTTCAAGCAAAACCGGACACCTCCCTGGCCTCTCACACGTGTCCCCTCCTCTGTCTCATGGTATCTGCCCTGGCTCAGGACCTCATGGCCTGGCTGTTGACCCCAACATTCTAAGCGGGCTTACTAGCTCCTGTCTTCCCAGCCTCTGTGACCTGGAACCCTCCCACTAAAACCCCTGATCCTTAACCTGATGTGACATGCACAGGCCTCTGAGGCCTCACCACGGGCCAGTAGGAGGTTAATTCAACTGAGAATTTAATGAGTGTCTAAGGTCTGGGGAGGACAGAGACAAAACAGACACAGCCCACTCCTTCTGTGGCCTCCCAGAGCCCTGAGTCCACTGGGGGTGACAGTCACTGAACAACCAGGTTAATAAATGTCGAGTTAAAACATGAAGACAGCGGGTCACCGTATCCTGAGGCTAATACAAGAGATGCTACAGCCGTTTGGGCAGACACTGCCGGTCGACAGAACACTGCACTCCAATGCTGTGCCTGGGCCAGCGTTGGTAGAGACCGGTGCCGGGTCGGGCGGTCTCGCTCAGCCACCTGACCACATTTCCGGTGCTCCACCGCCACACGTGGCTAGTGGTCACCAGCTGGCGAGTACAGAAAGGGAACATTTCCACCAGATGAAAAGTGCACAGGCTTCTTCGCCACCGTGTTTGCAGGGAAAGCCCCACCTCCTACCCTAGGCAACTGCCAGAGCCCCCCTCTCTGCTCCCCAAAATGTCCACTGATTTAGGGGAGATAAGTAGCCACCTGGGAAAGTTTGCTGAGAGAGGCCATTAGTTGTCCGAGTTCTCACAGAAAGTGGGAGGCAGAGCTGGGATTTGAACCTAGGCTGGTCAGGGCTCACCACCTCGGTGCTCAGCCGCTCTCCCAGGAAGTCCCAGTCTCCGAGGTGGGCTTGTTGGACTTGACTAAGAGTTAGTCAGGAGCAGCGGGAGGAAGAGCTCCCCTCTTCCTCAGGAATAGCACGTGAAAAGGTGCGGAGGCCTAACCCGCTAAGGGCATGCCAGCATGGCCCAAAGCAGAGAAAGAGAGGGAGGTTGTGGAGGCTGGATCATGGCCTTGCAGACCTACCTGGCAGGGGGCTTGGGCCACCCCCCTCTGAGAGTCCAGAGATCTGTCTTGCGGGCTAGACCCTCAGCCCTGATACTCTACTGTCCCTCCTGTCCCCCCAGGTCGTCCACACTGGTGAGAAGCCCTACTGCTGCCTAGTCTGCGAGCTCCGCTTTTCCTCGCGTTCCAGTCTGGGTCGCCACCTCAAGCGCCAGCACCGAGGCGTGCTCCCGTCCCCGCTGCAGCCGGGCCCTGGGCTGCCAGCCCTGAGTGCGCCCTGCTCTGTCTGCTGCAACGTGGGGCCCTGCTCCGTGTGTGGGGGCGCGGGTGCTGGCAGTGGAGAAGGTCCAGAGGGGGCGGGCCCGGGCAGCTGGGGGCTGGCAGAGGCCGCCGCTGCTGCTGCAGCAGCCTCGCTGCCCCCATTCGCATGTGGTGCCTGCGCACGGCGCTTCGACCATGGCCGTGAGCTGGCGGCCCATTGGGCCGCACACACCGACGTGAAGCCCTTTAAGTGCCCGCGCTGCGAGCGCGACTTCAATGCGCCCGCGCTGCTGGAGCGGCACAAGCTAACCCATGACCTGCAGGGCCCGGGCGCACCCCCAGCGCAGGCCTGGGCCACGGGGGCTGGTGCGGGGCCTGAGACCCCCGCAGAGGGTGGTGCTGCGGAAGCAGGTGACGCCAGGCCGGCTTGGGACGGCGGGCTGCTCCTGGGCCGAGTGGGGGGCGGTGTGCCCGAGCTCGGGGCGCTGCTCCCCGAGGGCGGCGGGGAGGCCCCTGCTCCTGCGGCCGCAGCGGAGCCGTCGGAAGACACCCTGTACCAGTGCGATTGCGGGACCTTCTTCGCATCGGCCGCGGCGCTGGCCAGCCACCTGGAGGCGCACTCGGGGCCGGCCACCTACGGCTGCGGCCACTGTGGAGCGCTGTACGCAGCCCTGGCAGCTCTGGAGGAGCACAGGCGAGCCAGCCACGGGGAAGGCGGCGAGGCGGAGGCGTCCACGGCGGCCCCCGAGGGGGAGCCCACCTCCGGGGAGCCGGCGTCCAGCACCAGCCGCGGCAAGAAGATCTTTGGCTGCTCCGAGTGCGAGAAGCTGTTCCGCTCCCCGCGGGACCTGGAGAGGCACGTGCTGGTGCACACGGGCGAGAAGCCGTTCCCGTGCCTCGAGTGCGGCAAGTTCTTCCGCCACGAGTGCTACCTCAAGCGCCACCGGCTGCTGCACGGCACCGAGCGGCCCTTCCCCTGCCACATCTGCGGCAAGGGCTTCATCACCCTCAGCAACCTCTCCAGGCACCTGAAGCTGCACCGGGGCATGGACTGACCTGTGCCCCTGCCTGGGGCTGGACTCGTGGCCCCCAGGGGACTGCCAGAATCCAGACATGGGTCCTGAATGCAGAAACCCTGCCTGGAAAGGTGGGGCCACCAGAAATCCACATAGGCCCCTCAGCTGGGGGTCCCGGATCTATGAAGACTCTGGAGCTTGAGGCCTCCCTGGAACCTGTGCTGGGCGCCCCCTAATCAACGGGCCCCTAGGCCGGGGGACCAAGGGATGAGAAATGGGTCTCCACAGGTACTTCTCACCTTAAGGGCCCTCATGAAAGATGGGCGCCCCTCCCCCAAGGGGAGTCTGCCTCTCCCTGAGAGCCATCATTCCCAAGGACCTGGATCTGGAGAATGCGGGGCAGCCATGTCCCTAAGTTTCCCCGGGGCCCCTCTGAATGCTACCCACCAGAGCCACTGATGCCCTTAGGGAATGGATAGCGCCGGAATCTGCCTTTCCCCGGTCTTATTCCCTCTGCTGAGAGAGGACCAGGGCAGATGCCCCCTGCCCTCAACTTGCTCCTCAAGTAGGCCGCCCCCCCTACTGCAGAATGGATTGACCCTAAGGATCTTCCCCATCCCCAAGCACTAGAATAGGCTGGTTGGAACCCCCCCCTTCCCAGTAGGATGGACTGATCCAGAGACATACCCTCCTGTCCAGTGGCAAGGGGCCCAGGCTGTGGCCTGCACCGCCCCGTCCCCTCAGTGAGTAGGGCAGACACACCACTCCTCCTCTGCGTCATTCTCCATCCTGTGGACCCACCTGAGTGGGAGGTGGTGCACACTGGAGTCTCCCTCCTGCTCTGCTGTAGAACGTGTTTGTCTTTCCATTCCTGTCCGTTTGTCTGTCTCTGTGTTCCTCCCAACACCATGGGGAAGCGGGGTTTGGCTCATGGACTTCCCCATGAGCCTCGACCTCACCCCCTCTTCCCAGCCCCCAGTGTCTCCAGGACCCCCAATAAACCTCGTCCTGTCAGTCAATGCTGCCTCATTGTCTGCACTTGGGCTCCAGGGGGTGGGGATTTCTCCCTCCCTGGACTTAGGACACGCCCCCTAAACTGAGACAGAGCCTTCCTCTGTCCCTGAGATAGTGCCCGCCCCCTAAAATCCAAAATGGTTTCAGTGTCCTCTAAACAGAACCCTGCCCCTTAAACACGAGATCCACCTCCAACGATGAACATGCTCTCCACCCCAGAACCAGTCAGGTCCTTCCGAAACCATCAATCCTGTGGGCCATGCCCTCTAAAATCCAGACAAGTTCCTACCTTAGACTCTGCTTCCTGGGTTAGTTCCTTCGAGGCACCTCCAACCCCAGATTAGGATCCACCGGTCAGGGAGCGCGCGGGCCTTCAGATGCTTCCTGGGCGTCAGGGTACATTCCTGTACCAAGTGCCCATTGCATGGCCAGGCATTGTAACCCGTCTGGGGACCCAACAGTGAACAGATCCACTTGTGGAGCTGTTGATAGTCTAGTGTGGGCCCAACGGGGCATAGAAAAGAGTAATAAACAAAAAAAGGTGATTTCAGAGGGTTGTGAGCACTCTGAAGGAAAGGAGGTAGGGTGCTAGGGAAGGGAGTGGCTGAACTCTCTGCCGCTTTTGGTGCGGGGGTCTGGATGAGCTTCCTGCGGAGGTGGTATTTGATCCAAGACTGGGGTGGTGAGGAACGAGAGGCCAGGTGGAGCCTGGTTGGGCCCAGGAGGGTTTTGAACCTAGAGGAGGGAGGGGTGAGACCCCACAGAACCTGGTGGCCCCGAGTAGGCATGTGATTGTGCTTCCTGGGTGAGCAAGACACTGAATGTGACTTTACAAAGATCCCTCTGGTTGCTGAGTGGAGGATGAACTTGAGGGGGACAGAGCAGAGGCAGCAGAAGAGCACCTTGGTCTGCCAGGAGAGAGGTGTGGGGGTCTGCACCAGAGTGACAGAGACAAATGGGTGGATCCGAGATGAATTCTGGAGGTAGAACATGTGTGTGATAGAAAGGGAGGGATCAGGAGAAATTGGTTGCAGTGGGGGGGGGGGCGGGCGGGGCGGACACATTAAGACCAGAAAACTGGAGGAGGACAAGCTTGGGTAGAGGCAGTGGGAATCAAGAGTTTCATCCTGCCCTGACCGTGTGGCTCAGTTGGTTGGGTGTCATCCTGCAACGTGAAAGGTCACAGGTTTGATTCCCAGACAGGGCACATACCTAGGTTTCTGGTTTGGTCACCAGTCAGGGCACATACAAGAGGCAGCCAACCCATGTTTCTCTTGCACATCGATGTTTCTCTCCCTCTCTTTCTCCCTCCCTTCCCCTCTCTCTGAAAATAAATAAATGAAATCTTTTTTTAAAGAAAGTTCCATCCTGAGCTTCTCAGATGGGAGAAGCCTGGGAGGTTGCCGTGACATAATAAGGCTGAAGGAGTGTATGGCCTGTGATGCAGTAATCCTACTGCCAGGCATGGACTCTAAAGAAACTCATGTTCCCCCCGCCCCCAGGAGGCACATCTCACAACCTGAACAGCAGTGAAATGCACAGCCCCAAACTCCAGCCACAAAGTCCATTGCTATGGTCTGAAGGTTTGCATCCCCCAGATTCACACGTTGAAATCTTAATACCTACATGATGGTATTTGTAGGTAGGGCCTCTGGGAGTTGCTCAGGTCATGAGGGTGGAACCCCTGTGAATGGGATTAGTGCCCTTATAGAACTGGCTGCTCAGAGAGCCCTCACCCTTTGCCCCAAGTGAGGACACAGCCAGAGGGCACCAGCCATGAATGAGGAAGGGGGCCTTCACCAGAAGGTGACCTTGGTGGAGCCTTGACCCTGTACGTCCAGCCTCCAGAACTGTGAGCCATACACCTCTGTTGTTTACAAGCCACCCAGCTGGTAGTATTTTGTTATAGCTGCCCAAGTGGACTAAGTAAGACATCAGCAACAATACAGGGGGTAAATAAATGATGGTGTATTAAATATGTACAGATAAACATAATTGCAAAAATGAGAGCCACAAAGACGCCGGACACGAGAAGCCAGAAGCGTTTCTGTAGCATTTAAAAACAAGCAAGACTAGCCCTGGCTGGTGTAGCTTAGTGGATTGGGTGCAGACTTGTGAACCAAAAGGTCACAAATTTGATTCCCAGTCAAAGCGCGTACCTGGGTTGTAGGCCAGGTCCCCACTAGGGGGCATGTGAGAGAGGCAACCACACATTGATGTTTCTCTCCCTCTCTTTCTCCTTCCCTTCCCCTCTCTCTAAAAATAAATAAATAAAGTATTTTTAAAAAAACAAGACTAAATTGTAGTATTGCTTAGGATGCATTGTGGGCACTGAGCCATTAAACACCCCCCCCCGCAAAAAAAAACAAAAAACAAAAACAAAAACACCTCAGTATAGTGGGATTGCACAGGTTAAGCTGGGAATGGGACATGCTGGAACCTTCTATGGGCTCCGGAATGACTGCCAACATTCCATTTCTTAACCTGGTGATCATTTTATAATTATTTGTTAAATTCTGCATTTGTACAGTACCTTTTTAATCTACGTGTAGTATATATTTCACAAGGAAAAACATTTTAAAGGAGGGGATATGTACGCATTTGCGGGGAGAGAAATCAAGTACCAGGTTGGTCTTCAAGGAAGACTTTATGTCCTGGAGGTCTATGATGACACATTTGAAAAGGACCCAGGTCAAGTGCCTGAGTCCTCTCCACTCTGCCACCAACACCCAAGATCCAGGATCGAGACTCATCCCCTTGGGGTTAAAAAACTACAAAACAAAAACCCACCTGCCTTGGAGAAACAAGACCAGCCCCCTTAGATACAGGCACTGCCCCAGGGACAAGCCCCGCCCACTCGGATACCTGTTTAACCAGGAGAGTCGAGCACCTGGAAGAGGGCCAGGGTTGTCATGGAGAAGCTATGGCGTCAGGAGGCCCAGCAACATTCCACACACACACACACACACCCGCCACCCCCAGGAGTTTATACTCCATTGGGAGGGGAGGTAGGCCGTTGGTGGACAGTGAGAAGTAGCCTAATGCTTGTTGGCTATAAGTACAATGTTGATAATAAAAGCAGAGCTTGGACTAGATGGTGACAGGGGGCCTATTTTAGCCCGATGCGAGTACGAGAAATATGGGAGAAGGGCATTTCCAGGCAGGGGGAACGGCCCGTGCAAAGGCCCTGAGTCCCGAAAGTTTGTCCAGGGCAGTGTGGTTGGAGCAGAGGGAAGCAGAGAGAGACGCATCAGGGGAGGGAGGCCCCAGGGGCAGGAGCAGTAGAGCCCTTCGGGGAGCGAGCGAGGAGGGGGCGGGGGAACCAGTGGGAGCCGGGGGAGGGTAGCCAGCCCAGAGTGACGCGACGGGATCTCCAGGTGTTGGGACAGCAAGGGAAGGAGAGCCAATGAGAAGGCAGTTGCGGTGGGACTGGCACCCGGCCGGGCACGTCTGAGCCAATCAGCGCTAGGCCCCGCCCCCTGCCGGGGATCCCAGTTCCCAGCCAGGGCTGGCTTCTCCCTCACCTGGACGTGCGCCCCGCCCCCTCCCTGCGGGCGCCTCCACCTCCCCCGCATCCGGCCGGGCCTCCACGTGGGTCCCACAGGAATTTCCCTAGAACGCTAATCGGACCATGTGACTTTCCTGCTTCAGACCTTGTCAATGGCTTCTCAGTGCACCAGGAATGCGTCCGGCCTTCATCCTGGACCAGGAGGCGGGACACAGTCGCTCGCGCAGCCCTGACCTCTCTGCATCAGCGGCCGCCTTTGCTGCCCCCATCCGAGGCGTCTGGTTTCCCCCAGCACGCGCATACCTTGCTGTTCTCTCTGACATCTTCTTTCCCATCCCCTCCATTCCTGAATTTGCTTCAAAACAAACAAACAAATAAACAAACAAAAAAGTAACCCTTAAAAATTTGCATGATAAAATAACATGCAGAGCCCTGGCTAGTGTAGCTCAGTGGATTGAGCGTAGGCCTGCGAAGCAAAGGATCACAGTTTGATTCCCAGTTCAGGGCACATGCCTGGGTTGCAGGCCAGTTCTCATCAGGGGGCACACAAGAGGCAACCATACATTGGTATTTCTCTTCCTCTCTCCTTCCCGTCCCCTCTAAAGATAAATAAATAAAATATTTATAAAAAATAACATGCACACTTCCCAGGTATATATATTCAAGAGAATTAAAAAAGGCCTTCCAAACAAAAGACATTAAGCCCGGATGTTACAACAGGACTATTCACAAAGGCCAAAGGGTAGAAAACACCCAAATGTCCACCAACCAATGAAGAGATGAAATGCAGAATGTCCAAACAACGGGGTATTGTTCAGCCGATTAAAAAAAAAAGGAATGGATTACTGACACAGGCTACAAGGGTGGATGCGTCTGGAGGACAATGTTGTGCTAAGTGAAGAAGCCGGCCGTGAAAGACGCCATGTCTCTGACTCCACGGATAAGAAATGTCCACGGCTGGCAAACCTTCAGAGACACAAAGCTGATCACTGGTTGCCAGGGGCTGGCATTGGGAGGGAGTGGACAGCGACTGCTTGGGGGTGATGATTCTGCAACTGCTTAGTGGGTGTAGTGACCCGACATTACAAATGTACTGAACGCCACTGAATTGTACACTTTAAAATGGTAACTCTAACATTACATGTGTTTTACTCAACAAAACACACACACGTTACACGTACCCATATGCAGACTCGAAGCTTTAGAACATTACAAATACACCTCAACTTTCATTACCCCTCTAAAATCCGATTGCCTCTCTAGTCTCAAAGGTAAGCCCTACTCTGAATTTGGTGTTATTCTTTCCATATATGTCCTTTTTCAGAAATGTGTATTAGGGAGCTTCTAACTGTCATGCTCCTGGCCACTACCCTTTCTCCCATCTCTTTGGGAAATGCAAAGGCTTACTGAGACTCACTTGCTTGGAAAACGTTAGTACCTCACTTTACTGGTCTCTAAAATGGGAGAGTCACGTTGCCCACCTCATAAGTGGCGATGTAAGAAGCATCCAGCCCTGGCTGGTGTGGCTCAGCTGGTTGGAGCGTTGTCCCGTAAACCGAAGGGGAGTGGGTTCAATTCCCAGTAGAGGACCTGCCTAGGTTGCAGGTCAGTGCCTGCAGGCAACTGATCCATGTTTCTGTCTCTCCCTCCCTTCCCCCTCCCTCTAAAATCAATAAGCATGTCCTCGTGTGAGGATATCAAGAAGGAGGAGGAAGAGAAAAAGAAGAATCCAAACCTGTGAGAATTTTTATGAGTTTATTTGAGCCAAACTGGCAACACTTGCCAGGAAGCAAAACCTCAACAGGTTGAGAAAATGCTCCAGAAAATGGCCGTTTTGCACCTTAGTTCATACATTATAACAACAACAAAAAAAAGGAGGCATAAGTGGGTTGCAGGAAGTCCACTGGTGATAGATTAGGGAGGAGGAAGAAAGCAAAGCCCAGTCAGGGGAATCTCTGAGACTGAATAAAAAATAAAATGATTGACACATACTTCTTTTACCCTGGTGGGTGGGGGACAGTTAACAGTCAACAAACAGTCAACAATGAACAAGATAACAGCAGAAGTAACAAGGGGATTTTAGGTCTCCCCCGATGTGGTCCCAGTGTTTTCCAGCAAAAGGAAATCAGACATTCCAAAGGCATGTTACCGTAAATGCAAAAAGACAACCGGTAGGCTCAGTAAAGGTAGAGATTGGCTTTTGCCGTGGGAAGATTCTAGCCTAAGACGTGACTGCCCACCGTGACCTACTTTTAGTTGGAAAGTTTCTTTTCTGTTGTTGTTGTTGTTTTAGAATCCCCTGCTATTTATTGGCCATCCCTTCTGCTCCAACTCTTACCATATGGAGAGGTTCAGCTTGGCCCTTGGAAGAGTTCCGGAGATGGGAAGGGAAGGTGGGAGAAGGAAGCACAGCTCCAAGTTCAGCAGCCACACTCAGTACCGCACCATAGTTGCCTCTCTCTCTTTGAATCTTCCTCCTCCACCTGACCTTTGTTTCAGGCAACCGAAACAGTTGCCTTGGCCTAAGCTAAAGGCCAAGGTCTAGAGCTGGGGGAGGTACCCGGGCAGGATGTTATCCCAGCATCCAGCCCATCACTATCAGAAGAGAGCTATCCAAGCTCCTGCCCAGCTCCAGCTGCTGGAGGCATTGAACTTGCTCATTCGGATGGGCCCGAACTAGAAAGTTTTTCATTTCCTACCATCCTTATGCAGTCACTTTAGGTCTCCGTGTTTGTAAGGCCGTCGCACAAGCCTCCCCTGAGCTTGTTGGGTTTAGTGTGTGGCCCCTTTTCATTCACATAAAACAGGGAGGAACAGATGGGCTCGTATTTGTCAAGCACATACAGAGTCAGCTGTGACTTTACTCTTGTTTTTATCACCCTCCATTGCTTGTTCCTTTCATGCTGTGGAATGTGGAACATAGTCACATGGTTTCAAGTTGAGACAGCAGGGAAAGGATAGAGTGTAGGAAGTCTGTCCTGGGCTTCAGACAATGTTGCCAGTTCCCTCTGTCTCCCTCCAGGTCTTGCAGACCCAGCACTGGGATTTCACACAGAGAGAACAGGTTGTGGGCTGTTCTGCACCTCCCGTTCTTTCTCCCTTTGAATTATCGCTTGGAGCTTTTCCATGTGTTTGCACAAAGGGCTTCCTCACCCTCTTTGTGTAATCCTCGCCTGAGGTTATGTTCGTTGATTTTCTTTTAGAGAGAGAGAGACAGAGAAACATTGATCGGTTTGCCTCTCCTAAGAGCCCCGCCTGAGGATCAAACCCACAACCTTTTGGTGTATAGGATGATGCTCCAACTGACTGAGCCACCGTGCCAAGACTTCCTCATCTTTTTTTTAATGGACACATAGCATTCCATGATTGAGTGGATCAATCGTGTTTCTTTTTTTTTAACCCAAATCCCCACTGTTGGGTGTGCAGCTAGTTTCTGCTCTTTTGCAGGGATTCACAACACCACACGGACTAAATCCTGGCATAGGCAACGATTTGCCTGTGTCTGAGTTCACCTATCGGACGGGTAAGTTCCTGGAGTTGCTCACTAGTTACGGCTGTTCCAAATTTTACTCTCCCAAGCCCTCCCCCCCATGCACACACACACACTCTTGCAGCCAGGTTGAGTGTGTGGTTCGCCTGGAACAGATGGCATGAAGCTTGATGTGTCCTGTGCCTTCTCCACTGAACTTTAGGTGTTTGAGATGTGGCCCTGTTGGCAGATTTCCATTTGCTCCTTCTCCCCATTGCTAATAACCCTTGGCTTTTTTATCCTGCAGATTTGCGCTAAAACGTGGTTGCCTCCAGGAAGCCCTCAGGGATCACCCTCTGAATGGGAGGTCAGCTTAGTGCCTTCCCAGTTCTCTGTATTCCCAACGTGGGTTGTTGGCTGCATTTGGGTTCATTCTCCAGGAGGGTGACTGGATCTGTGTCAGCTCCCTGCAGACGGGGACCAAGCGCCCCTGTCTTAGCCTCTGTCCCCCTAGCACCGAGAACAGATCCAGCCCACAGTAGGTGCTCAGTAAATATTAGTGGCTTAGGGTTAAGTGAATATAAGTAACAAAATATATGCCAAGTCAGCTGACAGTAGATTACCAGTTAACGCTGATCAATAAGGCTTGAATGATTATCTGCAGAGCTTATCATGAGGGTGGCAGGGTGGGGTGGGAGGCTTGAGGCTAGGAGAAGGGAGAGGCACTCTGCCAGGTAGCCAAGTGAAGGCTGAAACCAGGTTCCTATCCAAAGGGTCGGTATTTCCCCTGAAGCCTCTGGCATTGCTTCATTCATGCCCCCCCCCCCCCCGTCACCTCCTCCTCCAACACAGTGCCTGGCACAGACAGGACCTGATAAATGTGTGTTTGTTGAAGGAAGGGATGAATATATGTGTCTGTTTCGAGGGGAGAGGAGCTGGATCCAGTCTCCCAGGTCCCCAAACCGCACCTCCCTCTGGGAGCCCCGAGGACAGGCCCCCAGCTCTTCCCGTTACAGGACCCCGGAGTCGCAGCCGCCCCTCTACCTCGCCCCCCGGGTCCCCTCGTCCTCCGGCTTCCGGCTTCCCAGCCGGTCTTTCCTCTCCCCGGCTGGGAGGAAAGGCGGGTTTCCGGGGGGAAGGCTTAGGCAGTGACACCGAGCCCAGCCTCCTCCACCCCCCCTCCCACCACGCTACGCTCGGCCCTCCCTCCCTCCCCGCCACCACCGTCCACTCGGCGGCCGCGGGGAAGGAAGAAAGGCGCAGAGGAGGCCGAGGTAAGCCCCGGGCGCCCAGCGATTGGGGCCCAGTCCAGGCTCTGGGCTCAGGAGTCTTGCACGGCCTCCACCCAGGCCCCCAAACTGCAGACCATGCCTGGGACCAGCAGGCTGGGCCCAGCGGGGAGAGCGGCCCCCTGGGGGACCTGGTGACCCCCAGCAGCCTTCCTCGGGGGTCCAGGGGCCTGGCCCTCAGCCTCCTCCTCCCCGGAGAATTCGGGCAACTGGGTCCGCAGCGCCCTCCTGTCCCTTGTCGGAGGAGCCCAGCCCCCTCCCCTCACCCTCCCCACCACTGCGACCCAGGAACTCACACCCTTCACACACAGGGGGGTCTGGGTTCTGCACCCCATCATCTCCAGGAGCCCAGGTCCCAGTCCCCAGCCCCCCGCCTCCCTCGATCCCACGAGTCCTGGCCCCCAACCCCCTCTGGGCGCAGACCCAAGTCCGAGTGGTGGGAGGCCTCTTCCTGCTCCAGCACCTGGGCACCCACACCCGGAGTCCGGGTCTCGGGATTCGGACTCCCACCCCCGCCCCTCCAGCACCGGGACGCGCTCCCAGCCCCTCCCAAAGCAGGGCCCCTGGACAAATAGCAGTGGCTGACTCTGTCTCCCTCTCTTTCCCCTCCTGTCTGAATGTCTGCCTTGCCGTCTGTCTGTCTGTCTGTCTCTCCCCACCCCTCCTGCTGTGGTTCTGAACTCCGTGTTGACGCGGTCTCGGTCTAAACCTCTTTGTTTTCTCTTCACCTCTGCCTCTGCCCGGCGTCCTGCGCTCTGTGGCTCACCGCCCTGTCCTTCTGCTTCTCCCGGTCTCTGTCGCTCTGTCCCTCCCTCCTCTGGCTGCATATCTGACCTTCTGCACTTTTATCTCCCTGTCTGTTTCTCTCCCTGCCACCCCTCCCCCCCCAATCTCTCCATCTCTTTCCTTCCTCCTCACAGGCATGGATCCACAGCCCCCTCCACCTGCCCAGGGCAGCCCACCTCACCGTGGCCGGGGCCGTGGCCGGGGTCGAGGCCGTGGCCGGGGTCGAGGCCGAGGCCGGGGCAGGGGGGCTGCTGGAGCCCCTCGGGCGCCCCTGCCCTGCCCCACCTGTGGCCGCCTCTTCCGCTTCCCCTACTACCTCTCGCGGCACTGGCTGAGCCACTCGGGCCTGCGGCCCCACGCCTGCCCTCTGTGCCCCAAAGCCTTCCGCCGGCCGGCCCACCTGTCCCGCCACCTGCGCGGCCACGGGCCCCAGCCCCCGCTGCGCTGCGCCGCCTGCCCTCGCACCTTCCCGGAGCCCGCCCAGCTGCGCCGCCACCTGGCCCAGGAGCACGCGGGCGGCGAGGTCGAGCTGGCCATCGATAGGGCGGCCAAGGAGGTGGCCGAGCCCAGCTGGGGCCCGCAGGACGCCGCCGCCGCCGAGCAGCCCAGCACCGCCGCTGCGAGCGCCCCGGAGGAGACGGCGTGGCCCGAGACGTGGGCCGCGGGGGAGCCCGCCTCGCCAGTGGCCCCCACGAGCGCCGAGCCCCAGGAGCCGGAGACCCAGGAGGCCGAGGCTGGGGCGGCGGAGCTGAGAGCCGAGCTGGCGCTGGCCGCCGGGCGGCAGGAGGAGAAGCAGGTCCTGCTCCAGGCCGACTGGACGCTGCTGTGCCTCCGCTGCCGCGAGGCCTTTGCCACCAAGGGCGAGCTGAAGGCGCACCCGTGCCTGCGCCCGGAGGGCGAGCAGGAGGGCGAGGGCGGGCCTCCTCCGCGCCCCAAGCGCCACCAGTGCCCTATCTGCCTCAAGGCCTTCGCCAGGCCCTGGTCGCTGTCCCGCCACCGGCTGGTCCACTCCACCGACCGCCCCTTCGTGTGCCCGGACTGCGGCCTGGCCTTCCGCCTCGCCTCCTACCTCCGCCAGCACCGCCGCGTGCACGGCGCGCTCAGCCTGCTGGCCCCGCTGCCCTCGGGTGGCAAGAAGGACGACAAGGCCTCGGGCGCACGGAACTCAGGGAGGGGGCCGGAGGGCGGCGAAGGGGCCGAGTGTGGGGAGGGGGCAGAAGGTGGGCAGAATGGAGACGATGCGGCCCCGGCCCGCCCTCCTGCCGGAGAACCTCGCTTCTGGTGCCCGGAGTGCGGCAAAGGATTCCGGCGCCGGGCGCACCTGCGGCAGCACGGGGTGACCCACTCGGGGGCGCGCCCCTTCCAGTGCGTGCGCTGTCAGCGCGAGTTCAAGCGGCTGGCCGACCTGGCGCGCCACGCGCAGGTGCACGCGGGTGGCCCAGCCCCGCACCCTTGTCCGCACTGCCCACGTCGCTTCTCGCGCGCCTATAGCCTCCTGCGCCATCAGCGCTGCCACCGTGCGGAGCTGGAGAGGGCGGCCGCGCTGCAGGCGCTCCAGGCCCAGGCCCCGCCGTCGCCTCCGCCGCTCCCGCCACCCCCTCCCGCGGGGCAGGACGAGGAAGGGCTGCTCCTGCCCGTCGCACACATCAAGGAAGAGCCGCCCTCCCCCGGGACCCCACCCCGGTCACCGCCGGCTCCCCCTGTCTTCCTCAGCGCCTCCTGCTTCGACAGCCAAGACCACTCAGCCTTCGAGATGGAGGAAGACGAGATCGACAGCAAAGCGCACCTGCGAGGATTGGACGGCCTGGCCTCCTGACCCTCACACGCCCCCTCGCCCCTCCCGTTGGCCCCCCGGTTTGCAATATGGAGGAGAGAAGCTGAAGGAGAGGACCCCCTCCACCTGCCCACCCTGCCCCCTGAGCCCTGACACTAAGGAGGGGGGCCTGGACCGCCCCCCTTCCCTTCGCCCACCCCCGGGTCCCCCCTGATGCTGGTTAAGAACTGCTCACCCAACCGTGTCTGAGGCAGGACCACTTGGAAAAAGGAGGGGCGGGACATTGGCCAGAAGGACGGAGACTGGGGGACCCCCCCCTGCCTGCCGGCTGCCCTCTTTGTACACACTGGACACCATCACCTCTTTGGAACTGCCAGACCCTGGGGGATCCCCAGTGAGCAAAGATCTGTCCCTGTCCCTTTGTCTGTCTGTGAATAAATGTGAGTTCGTGACCTGAGAGTGGGGGGTCTCTGTGGAGGTGGGAGCTGGCAGAGGGGTCCGGATAAGCCAGGATCCGTCCGACAGGCTCTGAGCTTGGGTTCAAGGCAGGAGGGACGCAGAACTCGGTCTCACAGGATGCACGGGAGTGGGAGAGGACACGTTATCACCTGCCCGGGAGACTTTGGGGAGCCCCAGGCCCCCCTGCAATCCTGCGGGTTCACTCTGTCAGCAAACACCGGGCCCAGGGCTGAGCTCTGAGGACGCTGAACATGAAACTACTGTCTCCCCCTAAGAGGAACCGGAAGTCTCTTTTTAATTTTTACTTATTGGTTTGAGAGAGAGAGAGAGAAATACCCATCTGTTGCTCCACTTATCAGTGCATTCATTGGTTGATTCTCGTAAGTGCCCTGACTGGGGATAGAACCCACAACCTGGGCCTGCAGGAGGATGCTCTAACCAGCTGAGCCACGCCAGCCAGGGCGGGGCTGGAATTCTAGACCTCCATCCAAGACAGTTTAGCCAGGAGCCCCACAGGGCTACCGCCATTCGCATTTAGAAGCAATACGTTTAAAACAATGTTGAACGAGATTCCAAGTGCAGGTCCTCAGTCCCAGTGGCCCCCTTGTGGCTGGTGCCCACTCTGCTGGACATCGTCGACCTAGAAGGTTCTGTCGTGGCGGACAGCACCGCCTGAGAGCATAAAGAATTGACCTCAGGCATTGAAAAGGGCTCCGGAGGAAGCTGCAGGGCAGTGTAATGACGGACAGGACGGGGAGGGCGGGGCTGCGGTGAGGCGACTTCTGACCGGAGTGAAGGACCAGGTGGGGGAACAGGTCTGGCAAAGGCCGTGCGCTGGGCGGGCTCTGTACGCTGGAGACACAGGGAGGCCCTGGGGGCGGAAAGTGTCATTTTCTATAAACCCTCTGGGTATTTTCTTTGGTTTGTTGGTTTGTTTGTTTGTTTGTTTGGTTTTTATACGAGTGTTCATATCCCAGGGCCGGAGGGGAAAATGTTGCGTCCAAGCTCATCTTCCTGAAACCCCTTCTCATTGCTTCTTCGACACCCTGCCTCCGATGGCTCTCTCTGGCCCTGATGACCTGGGTGTCTCCACACCTGTGAGGCCAGGCAAGAGAAAGGGCGGGACCTTCCCTGGTTTCCAGGCCTCGGGAGGGAGGAGGTTTTCCCCGGTGTGATGAGAGCACCAGGCGGCAGGAGAGGGGAGGGAAGTGGGCCGATGGTGGCTGAGAGTCAGGGGGAGGACAGCTTCACAGAGCCCCATGTCCCCATCTCGGCTGAGCCCTTGGAAGGGTGCCCGGCACGTAGTGAGTGCTCCATCCGTTAGCCTGTGTGATTATCTCTACTCCCTGCCACCCAGGGATGGCTCTTGGGGACAGAATGATAGTGAGACCAGCTGGCCACCTGCCCTCACCGGGCCTACAGACCGGCGGAGGGGATGGAAAAATCATAAAGTACCGATACAAAGAAACGAGGGTCGCCAGGCGAAACCAGGCCTCCCACAAACTAGACCCCACAGCCTGGGGTGCTGTGGAGATGAGACACTGGGGGAGAGTTTCATTATCAAAGTCACACCTCCCTCCCCAGGAACCTTCAGGGGCTCCCCATTGCCATGCTGGAATGTGGGTGCCTATTTAGTGAGCACCTCCCATGGCCAGACACCCGTTTAAACCTAATGCGCAGGACAAAACCTGCCAAGGGAGGGGATGCAATAATAGCCCCATTTAAAGGAGGGACGAATGGAGGATTTCAGTGAAGAAGTCTCTCTTCCTACCCTGGAGTCTCCGCCATGAACTGAGCCCTTCATGGTCAGCCAGTTACTTCCCGGAGAGAGTGGCAGACCCCTGGGTGGACGTTATCGCTTTGTTCTTGCCCTTGTCCCAGGATGGCAAGGCCTGGGCCTCGGGAAGTCCTCAGAACCCCGTTGGGAACTAGCGTGCATCCTGATCACGGCCTCAGAGAGGAAATTGCTTGTCCATGATCTTGCAGTGAGCACGCAGCGGGCGTGGGATTTGAACCCAGGCTGGACCAGCTCCATGCCCTGAACCCTTCACCAGGCTGAGACAACTCTTGTAATCGGCTCCCAGCCATACAACCCACCTTTCTAGGTCCCTCCCCGCACCCATGCTGGTCTCCCAGCCCCAAGGTACCATCCCCCTGACCACAGGTTTGCCCACCACCATCCCCCACCCCCCATGTCTACTTAAGGATCGGCCCCTCCCGGGAGAAACATCCCTAGAACAAAATACAGAACTTTAGATGAGAAAACCAGGGTTCAGATATGTGGAGCAGACTCAGGAATTGGTAAAATAACCAACGGTGATGACTATTATGAAGTCTTACACATGCGATCCCAATCACATCTGTTAATGATAATAGCAAACACACTGAGTATTTATCTTGTGTTTCTTTCTAAGGGGATTGCATGGATTAGTTTATGTAACTTTCCCCATCAGCTAGAGATTATTATGGGCTCCTTTTTTTCCCCTTAAATTCCTTCGCTGAGGTATTTATTTACACACCACAAAATACATTTGCTGTAAGTGTGCAATTCAATGGTTTTTAGTCAATTTACAGGATTGTGGGACTATTGCCACAACCCAATTTTAGAACATTTCCTTTTCTTTATTTTTTAAAAAAGATTCTATGTATTTATTTTTAGACAGAGGGGAAGGGAGGAAGAAAGAGAGGGAGAGAAGCATCAGCGTGTGGTTGCCTCTTGTGCGCCCCCTACTGGGGACCTGACCTGCAACCCAGGCAAGTGCTCTGACTGGGAATTGAACTGGCAACCCTATGGTTTGCAGGCCGGCGCTCAATCCACTGAGTCACACCATCCAGGACCAATTTTAGAACACTTTCATCACCCCTGAAAGACCTCGTGCGCATTCGTAGTTACTTCCCTTTCCCAGCCCTGGGTTCGGGCAACCACTGAGCTACTCTCTGTCTCTCTAGATTTGCCTTTTCTGGACTTTCATAGAAATGTACCCCCACTACATGTGGCCTTTCGTGTCTGGCATCCGTCACCAAGCATAATGTCTTTAAGGCCCACCCACATTGTGAGTTGCATCAGTACTTTGTTCCTTTTTTGTGGATGGCCGATGTTGCATTGTGTGGATGGACGTCATTCTGTTTATCCATCCACCTGTCGATGGGCATTTGGGTTATGCCCGTCCTGCAGCTGTGGTAAGTAGCGCCGCTATGAACCTGCGTCGCTAAGTCTTCCTGCAGACCTGCGATGCCATTTCCCTGGACAGTTCCCAGGACCGAAATTGCTAGGCTATGTGGGAGGCTTGTGACGAACTGTTAAAGAAATGTCCAACTTTTCAGGGTGCGTGTGGCACTTCCAGCCCCACTGGCGGCGGATGAGGAGTCTGCGTACCTCACCAGAGGAAACTCAGGTACGAGGTCACGTGGGTAGGAAGTAGCCTATCCCGAAGTGACGCAGACGTGCGATTCAAAGCCAGAGCTGTTAATCCTTTTACTAAGATGCATTTTTACCTTTCTTCATTCATTCACTCAACCTGAAACTCTTTATTGAGGACCTACTAAGTGCAGAGGGCTCTGCATAGAGGTGGGAGAAGCCTGGGTGGACAAATAGACGAGGTTAAATTCTGGTGGACGAGCAGACTCAGGGCACGGATTGGACCAATACTGATTCGGGACCCACTGTGTGCTGGGCGCTGTCCAGGTGCTGAACAGCCGGGAGTGAATGAAACAGACATAGACCCCTCCCCAAAAGGGGCTCCACACTCTGGTGGAAGGAGACAGGGGAGCACAGGCAGCCAGTGATCGATCACACAGCTCTGGAGGGGATGTGTGCCAGGGAGAAAGATGAACAGGACATGTGTCAAGGAGGACACAGCTGTTGCAAAGGTCCTGGGGTGGGAATGGGACCGGTGTGGGCAGGGATCAGAGAAGCCAATCGGACTGGAGGACGTGTGAGAGGGGAGGAAGGAGTAAGAGGAGGGAAGTGGAAGGGGATGGGAATCTGACCTGAAAAGACTCACAGGGAGTCTGGTTTCTGCTCCAGGTGAGATGGGGAGAGAGTTCCAGAGGGATTCATGCTGGGGCCAGCAGAATTTCACTCCCCTTTTTCCTTTTCACATTTCATTATAAAAGTTTATGTATTTTTTAAAAGATTCCATTTATTTATTTTTAGACAGAGGGGAAGGAAGGGTGAAAGAGAGGGAGAGAAGCATCAATGTGTGGTTGCCTCTCATGCGCCCCCTACTGGCGACCTAGCCTGCAACCCAGGTATGTGCCCTGACTGGGAATCGAACTAGCGACCCTTTGGTTTGCAGGCCAGCACTCAGTCCACTGAGCCTCACCAGCCAGGGCGCCACCTGGCTTTTTATCTTAAGGGACCTCTTTCTTTTAGAATCGTTGGGATTCACAGAGAAGTTCCGATGATAATGCAGACTTCCGGTGAACCCCCCACCTAGGCTCCCTAACGTTACCACCCCCCGTTAACGTGCACCGTGTGGCAAAACCAAGAAACCAACACAGGCAGACGGCTCCCCACCACATGCTACCCTCCACTCGGGTTTCACGCATTTCCCCCCAGCGTCCGTTTTCTGCCCCCGGATCCTGCCCAGGATCCCACAAAGCCTTTGCAACACACAGCTCCAGAGTGTCAGCTGTGGGGTCGCTTCTCAGACTGGCCTTGGTTCTTGGTGACCCCGGCCGTTTTGAAGAGTCCTGGGGAGCGAGACTATTCCGGGGAAGTACACCGCTCAGCACCTGCTCCCAAGGGCCCACGGCATCCTCGTGATTTATCACCACTCTTGTTAACCTTGATCACCTGGCGGACAAGGACGTGAGGTTTGCAGGTTTCTCCACTGGAAAGGGGCCCCGCCCCTTCCAGGCCCCGCCCCTTCCAGACCCCGCCCCTTCCAGGCCCCGCCCCTTCCAGGCCCCACTCCGGAAGTAGCCCATGTGGAAGGGAGAGGAACTGAGCTCCATCTCCTGAGGAGGGAGTCTCCTGAAGATGCTAT